TGCTCACGCAACGCCGGTGCCATGTGAGGAACCCATCGCAAATCACGTCAGCGTTGTCCCTGCGCCGCGACCGCATTCGGACAGCGATGAAGGGTGGCTCGAGGCGCTTTGTGCGGGATCGACGGACCTGTCAGATTCAGAGCGTCAACAACTTAAAACACTACTGCGGGAATTTTCTGACGTTTTTAGTCGGAATAAATACGATTTGGGTTGTACTCACCTGCTGCGTCACCATATTGACACGGGTGACAGCGCGCCAATTCGCCAAAATCCGTTTCGGTTGAGTCCCGCTGAAAAGGACCATGTCAAATCGGCTGTTGATGACATGTTGGCCGCCGACATCATTTCTCCTTCCACCAGCCCTTGGGGAGCGCCGATCGTCCTGGTTAAAAAGCAGGACGGTTCGTTGCGGTTTTGCGTTGATTTCCGGCGTCTTAACAAAATTTCGGTTGCCGACGCATACCCGCTCCCTCGGATGGATGAATCGCTGGACGCCTTGGCGGGAGCGCGATTCTTTTCCACACTGGATTTACTTTCGGGATTCTGGCAGCTTCCTCTGGACGATGATTCAAAGCCTAAAACTGCTTTCCGTACACCGCATGGCCTGTTCCAATTCAACCGGTTGCCGATGGGCTTACACTCAGCGCCGGCAACTTTCCAGCGTTTGATGGAATTGGTTTTGGCTGGATTGCAATGGGAGTCGTGCCTCATTTATTTGGATGACGTTATCGTCTTTAGTAAAACTTTTGACGAACATCTCCAGAGGTTGCGGGCGGTTTTCCTAAAGATGCGGGCTGCTAATTTGAAATTCAAGCCCCAAAAATGCCATTTGTTGCGCGATTCGGTGCGTTATTTGGGGCACATCGTGGGACGCTCGGGTATTGCTACCGATCCCGCCAAAACGCAGTGTGTCAGCTCCTGGCCGACTCCCACCTCGGTGGGAGAGGTCAGGAGTTTCATTGGGTTCGCGTCGTATTACCGACGGTTCGTCGCTGATTTTGCGACAATTGCAAAACCCCTGCACGCTTTAACATCTAAAGGGGTTCGGTTCCACTGGGGTCAAGAGGAGGAGGCTGCTTTCTGCTCCCTTCGGGACGCCCTGGTAAAAGCCCCTCCCTTGATTTACCCAGATTTTTCTAAGCCCTTTTTGCTCGACACCGATGTGAGCAACACGGGTATTGGGGGTGTGCTTTCCCAGGTGGTTGATGGCGTGGAACGGGTGGTCGCGTACGGTAGTCGGGTGTTGTCTCCTGCGGAGCAAAGATATTGTGTCACCCATAGGGAACTGTTGGCAATTGTCTATTTCATCCAACAGTATCGCCCATATCCGGGACAGTTGTCTCGATGGTTGGAGGTTCTCCAGGACTTTGATTTTGAAACCACCTACCGTAAGGGCGTTCGCCATACGAATGCGGACGCTCTGTCGCGCATGCCAACCACCTCCGAATGTGCATGCCTCCTGGGGTCGGGACGTTGCAGGCCTTCAGGGGACGCATCGGTTCCGATCTTGGCAGCCACCGACGACGACGAACCATTGGTTACTAATTCGATCGAACAACAGGGAAGAGATTCCCTGTTGGGGTTGCCCGTCACTGAATGGGGGCGCCTCCAAATGGAGGATACCTCCCTCCTCGGGTGGCGTCGTCGCGTCGGGGGTGCTGGGCGGGTGAAGGGTGATTCGGATGCATGGGAAATGGTGCAAGGTCTGCTGATGCATTGGGACGGCAAATCCCAGCGACATCGGCTGGTGGTCCCTTCTGAGTTGCGAGGCAAGGTGGTGTGGGCCGCGCATGAGCGCCTATTACACCTGGGGACCCAAAAGACTCTTGCACTGCTACAACTTGATTTTTTTTGGCCTGGTATGACGAGGGATGTTGGGGATCTATTGGGATCATGCCCTCGGTGTGCGCAACGGAAACCGCCGGCGCGGGAGTCTAACCCGCCCTTGCAATCGATCAAAGTATCCAGAATAAATGAGCTTGTCGCGCTGGACATTTTGGGCCCATTTCCCGCCACCCCCAGGGGCAATAGGTATTTGTTGACAGGTGTCGAGTATTTTACGCGCTGGCCTATGGCCTGGCCCCTTGCCAACCAGTCGGCAGCAGCCATCGTGGAGGCCTTTGTTCAGGGATACGTCCTGGACAAAGGTGCTCCGGAGCGGCTGCTGACCGACCAGGGCAGAAATTTTTCCGGTAAATTACTCAAACAAGTCTGTGACCTCTTAGGCATGAAGAAAATTCGTACCTCCCCGTATCACCCGCAAACTGACGGAATGGTCGAGCGCCTGCATCGCACCATTACGTCAATGATGTCACAGCAGGTCTCGGACTCGCAGACTGACTGGGACCTGCATATTCAAGGGGTCTTGGCGGCATACCGGATGGCACCCCATGCAGCTACGGGATTTTCCCCCTTTTACCTCATGTACGGTCGCGAACCCGACCCGCCTGTTCGCGCCCAGCTGCAGATCCCCGACCCGCAAGGGAAAACTAAATTGGCTGACCACGTCAAATTTAATCTGGTCAAATTAACAGAGGCGCGGGATGCTGCTATGCTAAACTCGGACCTCCGTCAAAAGGCGAATGAGCGCCTCAGGCTGGGTCGGGCGCACGTAATACAGTGGAAGCCGGGGGACAAGGCATGGTTGCACTGTCCCCAAGTGCCCCTGGCTACCTCCCCTAAGCTGGCGCGGCCGTGGCGGGGCCCTGTGGAGGTGGTCGAAGTTTTGCGACCACAGTGCGTGCGCATTAAATGGGGGAAGCGGCGATGGTTCGTGCACCCCTCTAGGTTAAAACCCTTCGTTGCGGTACACAAACCCACTTCACACATGCGTGGCCAAACGTGTGGGGGGTCGACCGACTCACTGGGTCCGTCTCCGTCGTTCTCACCTAATGCCTTGCCGGCCGTGCCACCTCCAGGTGCATCAGGACTGACGGGCTCACGCCCGACCACCCCTCCTGGGGATACCGACGGTCGCGCGGCATCGGATGAGGTCTCACTCCGGGACGGACAATTGCCACCTTACGGTCCGCCACCCGGGGTTACCCCGTGTGAGGGGCCCGCTGCAAGGACGCGCGCAAAAATGCGCAGACTGTTATGAGGCCGGAAGATGTGTACATAGGTTGTGTTCATCGTGTGTTGTGTGGGTGGTGTGTTCCCTGCCCATTGAAATGTACATACGTTGTGTTCATTGTGTGTTGTGTGGGTGGTGTGTTCCCTGCCCATTGAAATGTACATACGTTGGGTTCACCTGGTGTTGTGTGTATGGTGGGTTCCCTGCAAATTGTATATAGGTTGTTTTTTTACGGAATTCGTATTTATTCAAGGGGGGGTGCGTCGGGTTGTTTTCTCTTCTTGCTGTTGCATTTTGTTGTGTTCTTGTGCTGTTCTTGTTATTGTTGAAAAATAGTGAGGCACACGCGCGGTCAAGGTGTAAATGCACTTTTATTGTCATTTTTGTATGTTGGCAGCCGGGACGGCTGCAAGCTATGCGGGGGGGGGGGGGGGGGGGGTGATGTAGGGGTGTTAAAGAGAGGGCCCGTTATGCATGGCAGCCTATGGAAAACAAACACAGTGGGCGGGGCTACGTAAGTGCACGAGCAAGTGCCCTCTACGACGTCCGAGCCAGACACCCTGGGGGGGGGGCTGGTTCGAACGTTATGATCCCCCGGGGCCCCACCCCTCAGGGAGGGGTTGGGTATAAAAGGGGATGTTTCAAAGGGCTCGGCAGTTATGTTTAAGCTAAGGGAAGAAGATTGAAGACGTCTTAGATAGAGCCCTGGACTCCCCTGGTTCGATGTCCTTTTCAGGGCCGGGCAGGATTGAGCCAGCGGCGTGGTCCCGAAAGCCAGAGCCGGTGCTCTGGTAAGAGCTGGTCTGGAACTCCGGGTACCGGGCCCGACTTACCAGTGTCGGGCCAGTTAGCCTCCCCTAGCCCATTAGTGGAGGATTCGGGGCTAGGACAGAGTTAGCTAGGGGTGTATCCCGAGTTATACGGGTGAGGGGGCCGATACCCCCTCGAGTGTGTATATGCCCACTGTCATATTGTGAATAAACATACGTGTGCCTCAACCTCGGCGTCAAGCGTCCTCACCGGTACTTCACTTATATACAGGGACCCGGCTCACTCTGCCTCTAGCCACGCCTTCCTTCCAGGACCTTCTCCAAAGGTCTGGAGAATAACACAATCCCCCAGCACCCTTCCTGGGGTCTGGGGTCCCGACCGTTGGGCACGATGCTCCCCCCAGGGATTGCCTAGGGCCAATGGCCGTCATCATTATCCAGCAGGTTCAGCCTCCCTTCCGCTCCCTACTGGCACAAGCTAGTACTGCCGGCTATAGGTAGTGGCGATCATGTTCAACCATGCCACTACAGATGCAACACTTCCCATAGACTAACACTAGGCAATAGACTCAACACTGCCCATAGACTCAGCACTTCCCAAAGACTCAACACTTCCCACAGATTCAACACTGCCCATAGACTCAGCACTTCCCAAAGACTCAACACTTCCCACAGATTCAACACTACCCATTGACTCAACACTTCCCACAGATTCAACACTGCCCATCGACTCAACACTTCCCACAGATTCAACACTGCCCATCGACTCAACACTGCCCATCGACTCAACACTACCCATAGACTAATACTGCCCATTGACTCAACACTGCCCATAGACTCAACAATTCCCATAAACTCAACACTGCCCATAAACTAAATACTACCCATAGACTCAACACTACCCGTAGACTAATACAACCCATTTACTCAACACTGCACCTCCGATTAGCCCAGTTGACTGCGTATGGTGCAAAAGAAGTCCATCATGCATACATACTGCCCATAGACTTACACTACCCATAGACTCAACATTACCCATAGATGCAACACTTCCCATATACTAATACTACCCCATAGACTAACACTAGGCAATATACTCAACACTGCCCATAGACTCAACACTTCCCATAGACTCAACACTTCCCATACATTTAACACTACCGATTGACTCAACACTGCACCTCCGATTAGCATGGTTGGCTACGTACGGTGCGAAAGAAGTTCAACAGCATACATGAAAATGTCAATTAAAGGCTACTGAGACATTGTTTATATTTTATTCGCATATAATACTGTAATACAAAATATAAGACATTTCATTTCATTTGGCGACTATGATAATTATACAATGCTAAACCTACACGTAACAACGGAACTGGGGAACCTTTGTTCAATGTAAAACTGACAATAACTATTTGATGATTACATAAATTCAAAGTCAAAAGTGCCCTATGCTTAAGCAAGTGATACATGAGGCTCATCCCTGTTGGTGGCTCTGAACTAGCGGTGTCAACTCGACATTTCTATTGTGGGAACCAGTCCGCACTGTAGGATCGACCGTTCCAGACCGGCAATTGAACTCACAACCTTTCGTTTGAGAATCGGGCATTTTGCTACGGTAAACAACAAAACCAATTGCAACGATTAATTAGTGGCAACGAACAATCCACCAAGCAATCCAACGTGGCTTAACATCAAGTGTTACCATCAAGTGTTAGGCCAAGTTAGGGTGCTAAACGCCCATGCTTGCCGAACGGCTTTAACTACGGGCAGCTCTTAACCCCAATGCTTGCCGAACGGCCTTTACTACAGGGAGCTCTCAGAGATACCCTCTTGGGCAGTGGTGCGTAACCTTTACTGCAGCCTTGCGCCGCTTTGGTTCTCAATCGTGAAACATTAATGTTAATAAATACGTAGGTTTGATGAAATAAAGTAGTTGTTACTTACGTGCCCGTGTTTAGTTTACGTTGCGATGATTTACCTTCTAAAAAACAAATCTGACCATGTTTCGCTACCCTCATGAAGGGCATCTCTCACCGCCAGGGGGTGCCAGCGTGCACCCCAGGTGAAGAACCACTGCTCTCGAGGGTAATGGGCCTACTCTTCCACCCTGTCCAGGCATTTTAGAAAAGACGTATGGGAAACCCCACGTTTTCACTACACTCATGTAACTGTATACTACTGGGTGCACAGAGGTGGTGGTATCTTAAGTAACTGGCCCCGTTGTTTCTCCGGTCGGGCCACAAAATGGAATCATGCCGGTGGGTCCCTGGATTGCAAGTCCAATCTGCTTAGCCATTGCATTACGGCAGCATCCTAGGCATGTCATGATCCATCAATCAAAAATCAATTCTCACACTCACGATAATTGCATCGAATCGCGCGTGTAAGAATCGTGATTTGAGCAAATGACAGTGTATGCAAATTACTGTACGGTTTCTGCAAATGTTATCCTTTTGGCTTATTGAAGGAACGAGACAAAACGAGACAAAAAAACATTCGACACAATTCAAAGGAGACGAAAAAAAACTATTCACAACAATTGAATTGTGGTCGACATTGTGACGCAGAATCATGTAAATCCATCAAACTGGGAGGTGGATTGTCACGTGCATTCTTGCCATGGAGTTAGAACTGGCGACTATTTGATTATATGGATTCATTGGATGCGAATTGCGATCGACTACTGTTGCGCGGTCGATTACTCGGGCCCATTTGATAGTACTCCTCTCCAAGGCTGGAAACCCCCTTTAAGCCACGCCCAGCGTGACGTTGATGATACTGATGACGTCACGATGCCCAGTCCATCACCTCCCACCCAGCGGCACAAGTGCAACTGAGATCGGACCTCTTCGTGCAATGACAGTTTTTATTTTTGTTTTATCCAATGAGTCGAGCGATCAAATGGATAGCCCAGTTCTACATGGAATGATTTTACTCCTCCTCGGATTCGAGGAATTCTCACGATTTTGGGTCACAAATGATGAAATGCTCTCATTTTCATAACATCGCGTTGAATGCACCTGCAGTGGCTGCACACGGGCTATGCGAGTTAAAAATAATTCTTGCACAAGGAGACGCATTGTATATCGTGAGCTTACATTTTTTTAAGTCAGTGCTGCATGTCCAATACCCATGCTAAAAGCAAACCCTTTAATTCTTATACCATTACAATTATAGTTTACAGCTCCCAAGTTAATCAACTGTTGAATTTAGGCCTCCTCATACCGTGCCAGTATGTGGGGGTTGTACGATCATTCTTCACCATTGTGGTGAGTGAAGGTCGGTAAAGGAAAGTGCCAAGGACCGGTTTGGATGGCACTCGCCACTGATGTTACCTGTGGCCTGGAAACACAACAACCACTAAGCTATCGCTCCACCATGAGAGTTAATTATTTGACTACTTTGATTACAATTAAGAGTCATTCCAAACCACATTCACTCTCCTCCGGTATTCATGGCATTTTATCGAAGCCTCAGTCGAACTCTGGTCAGTGATTGTCGCTTTTTCTCCTCTGTTGTCCCCGTAATCTGGAACGTCCCTCCGCCATCCATCAGCGCTGTCGACTCCCTGCCCCTGTACAAGTCCAGGCCAGAGACGTTCCTCTTTTCCTCATCACATTCGAGGTAATGAACTGAATTAATTGGGTCAGAAAGTAAACACCAAATGTTTAATGGAGGGGCCAGGGAACCTCTTCCATGTCCACCTATTCCAAGTCACTTGTCACTGCAAGATACCCTCGCCAATGGCAGAAGTGACTTTGTGTGTGCGAAAATTAGTAAACGCGTTGTTGCTGGGTCAAAAATATTCTCTTACGGTACCCTGATTCGTGCGACTAAAGAGGCATCTAGTGACTTAAACATTTAATTTTGGCTCTAACCGCATCATAATAATTCAGGCAATTATGCACATTAACAATTTTAATGACGACACGTTAGAAATTGTACATATTTTTAACGATGCGTAGTCTACATTCAGGGGGAATGCAAAGGTAAGCGCGATCTGTTTTAACATACCCCTTTGATTTAATATCTATCTTGCTGATCTCGTCAAGGTCATCATCGCGGCAGCTTCTGGCTGGGCATCGAACAAAGATGGTCACTGCATCGCGCGTTTTCAGATGCGCTTCTGCGGTCGTCTGGAACGCTCTTCATTCCGATATGAGGAAGCCACTGGAGCTACGCACGTTTAAATAATCTAGATTGAAACAATTTCTTTAGAACTACTTTTCATGTTTAGTTTGTTGTCCTTCCCCCACACCTCCGATAAGCACGGTTGGCTATGTACGGTGCGAAAGAAATTCAACATACGTACACACATTGATTTTGAACGCCCCTTTCTTCTCAATTGGCGATTAAATACTGTGCGAGTGATGGCTCCGTGTCTTACAGAACAGACAGAGGTGGTCGTATGGATGGAGACTCACGGATCTGTGCTCACATGCACACACAGCGTGCAAATTCTGGGAGAAGTCACAGCACATGCCACCGCAAAGGAAAACGACACTCCACCCCAGCACGCACGGCCTGCCTGCTGATCAACTGTGGGTTGTACTTGTTTGTGCTGCTGGGCGGACAGAGGTTGGGTTGATACGAGAAACTTGTCATGCCAGGAGATCGAACCGGCGGACTCTGAGATTGCAAGTCCTCACGCATCAACCTTGTGAATTGGCTCCAAAGTTGATGGTAGCTTGTGTGTGCATGTGGGCCAGAAGCTGGGATTTGAGGGGGGAGGGGGGAACAACCCCTTATTGTTTGAGGAAATGCTGTCATCAGCTAGGTTTCCATCAATCATTATGAATGCCCACTTATTTTGATGAGTTATCCGTTTAACACGAACCCCAAAGATCTTTGAGGGGGCCCAGAGACAAAATACAGTGTAAACACCAACTTAAATAATGTGTTGAATGGTGGAATAACAAAACAACAACCCCATTGAATTGCTTAGAACGTTTGTCTTTTTTTGGCATAAAAATACTGTCGTATATATACACACATCTTACTTTCAACTAACGCGTACTCATTTAATAGAAAACCATTTAAATACATCGTTTGATCGTTTGATTTTGTGCCAATAACCTCTAAGAGAAGAACACGACCAGTGTGCTTCCCTAGAGTTACACTACGACTACTCTGTGATGGTGGATACAAACTAAAATAAGTAATAATGGGCGAATGTCAATAATATAATCTGGATGTGACTGACCAAAGAGATTCACAATATATATTTTGCAAAAGATGTCTAATTTTCATATTTACATAGGCACAGTAAAAGTATAGTACGACATCCGTTGTTTGGGAATTTTATAATTTGTTTGGATTCTCCGCCGTTTAAGTTATCCAACGCTGGCACACACTCTTGCAGACAATGTTTTGTTGGGTCTTTAATGTCCACCTTTCAGCAGACCGTGTACTTTGGTAATTCCCTGCAGAAGTAACTTAGAAGTAGGGATATGCTTCCAATTTAGTTTAATCCTCAAAATACCAATCTGGAAATCAGGCCGAGATGCAAAATTTAGGGTGGTCCATTTTTCTTTCGGATTCATCTGAAAGTATGATGCCACAGGAAATGACGTCTTAACAGTATGTCACTTCCCCTTTGTCCCCGCTAAAAGTGGCAACAATGCCACGTGATGCCGCTTTCGTTTCGCTCAAGCACGGTTTCCACTATTACAAAATGGAAATGATCAAAAAATATTGAATTTTTATATCCAAAACCCATCCCTACTCAGCTAAGGTGGACGAGAATGGGCATATTAACAACTCTTACTCAGAGCCACTAGTCTTAGAATCAATTGTGAAAATGAGTTGGCCCGTCATTTCTAAATGGAGAGAGGGGGTCTCTACCATGGTTACAAATAAAACCTCCGAAACCAGAAGCTATTATTTTAATAGGAGCACACAGGATGTATGCGCCGGGCTGTCTGTTTTGAGTTTTATAAGCTTCATTCACAGGGGGGGAGGAATTGAAAGTGGCATTCATGTGACTCACACAGCTTTTAAATTTGTCCAAGATAACAGCGCGCAAGTGCATTATGGAAGCCAGCATGACAGGACAGCATTCATGTCAACCCATACGGTTTACCCGTATTCTTGTACAAGGAAATTGAATGAAAGTATGTTTTTGTCTATTTATTTGTGTTTCTCCCTTGTGGTGGGACTTTGTAGGATGAACGTCGACAATCATAAGGGCACGGGGTGACCAATAAGGTCTGAATTGGTCTGTAATAAGATATGGGACAGCCAGATCAAAACGAGAGGTGCACTGGGAGGTCGGTATGAAATTGCACGTGCACCCATCGGGTTTCAAATAATCTACCGTATACTAATCTGGGTCCAAATTCAACGTGGTCAAAATAATATCTCACGCTAGCACGACTGCTATATTCAGGAGTGGGGCACTGTGGGAGCTGGGACGCATGAAGCCAATGCAGGTCTGCTGGCACAAAGGCATCTTAAATATGGGACAAAGAAACTGCTCCAATGTTAAATGGAACCAATTGGTACTTTCATCTGGTGACAGCCCATTGCAAGAGGGAACTTAGCAATTTTAATAATGCTGAAGAAATATATATACACAGTAGTCCCTTGGTTAACGTTTTTAATCCGTTCCACAGAAACTACTGTTCACCGAAATGACTGTTAATCGAATTCAATTATAAGTGTTTCCACTGCCAAAATAGTGTTTCCACTGATAAAAATAGAAAACATGTTAAGCATAAAGCCATTCGAGGTCTAAACGCTTGCAAATGAGAGTTGCTAATTGGCTGAGGGCATGGCTCAGCCCTAACTTAGGAGCGCTGGAATTGGCAAAAATTGGCGTGCACAACATAAACACGTTACCGTTACATAAAAGTGTTAACGTCAGTTCAAACCACGGGGGTTCTCTGTGGGAAGCGAAACGTTCACCGCAAAAAAACGTTAACCGATGTCACTGTTAACTGAGGGACGACTGTATATAATTTAATTTCTTATAACTCTCACATTTGGGATTTGGGCTTAATGCATGAGCACACAAATAGCCCGTCCTTATGAACGATCACCCCTGTCTTTTTGTTGTTGTTTAACGTCCACATTACAGCAGACGGCCTGCTTTGGTAATTTCACGCAGAAAAATGGCCAACCGGATGTGGTAATCAGGCTACGACGTATATGTTCTCTTTGTTTCGTTTACACCGGGAAACACGATGGGGGGGGGGGGGCGGGAGGGGCGTCGTTTTCGAATGGAAAACGCAAACGTTTTGCACGCGCAAGCAGCGTTGTCCTCGTCCCGTTTTACTTTTAGGCTCCTTACGACTGCTCAGTGTGGCCCGCTTCACACAAGCAACGATAAGGTCGCCGCTGACCCCCCCCCCCCCACCCGCGTCCTCTGTCGTTGTACGTCAATCACACGCACACCGCCCTAAGTGAGAGACTTTCACCACCTCCTCCCCCACGAACCCACAGCTCCAAGGGCTATAACCTGACGTCTTTCTCCTCCAAGTCCATCTCGTCGTTGTCGGACGGCTGTGGGATCTCCAGGTTGAACTTTTCACTGAGCTGCTGGATAATGGCGGCGAGGTCCTCGGCATTCTGGGACTTTTCCTCCAGGAGCTCATAGCGCAGGCTAGAGATGTCCTGCTTGATGTCCTTGAGCTCTCCTGCAAGTGACACGCGGGCACATGCATAAAGATTTCCCGTGTGGCCTGAACATGCGATTGGTGCAAGTTCTGTTAGCGAGTAGCACATATAAAGGCCAGCAATGCATATGAGGGGGCGAGTGGGTGGTAAGCATCACGCCCGGTCGCCTTTGTCTCCCCAGTGGCGATGTTTTACACACCGCTCTAGGTACTAATTTGAGGCTGAGTCGACCTAGGGGAGGCCCAGGAACGGTTCAGATAATCGTCACAGATGTTGGCCGTGAGCAGGAATCGAATTCGGGTGGCCGAGTTTGTAGCGCATCGCGCTACCACTTCACTACCGCTCCCCATGTGTGATGTGTCGCACAATGACCTCACACGCAATGCCAGGGCGAATCCTTTTTGGCGCAAATTTTACGTCTCTCAAGTGTTGGGAAACCCTCTTTAATCAATGGGGAAAATCCCTGATAGCAACACAACTTTGCACTCAAGTTGAACTCCCCATTGGTTTACATTTACATAACTTATTGTGCCCCCCACCCGCATTTTGGATGGACAGACCAGACGGAGATTGCTAATCAGTGCTTTCATCCTCGGTTCGAAAGCGCCACAGTTGGTTCATACTATTTAAATTTACGTTGATTAAAAACGTCATCATCGTCGTCGTCATTGTGAGCAATAATCGTCACCACCATCAGCAACATCAGTAATTTTAAAAAAGTGTTTTTAATGGAATGTGGCCGTTACCTTCGTTGACCTCGTCGTTCTCCTTGTCGAACTGGGCTTTCAAGACGTACCTCTTGATGAGCCGTTTCATGATTTGCTGCGGAACAGCGTGACAGAAACGGTGACCGCGAGCAAGCATTGCGCGGTGCCTGATACTGCAATGCCATTGTAATTGTGCTGTCGTGCTGAGATAATATATGAGCATATCAGAATCAGCAGATTTATTTATACTGGAGGAATCTGATTAACTATAAAGCTATTTTTCACAGATGTCCAGTAGGGGTGGGTAAGAACGTTACAACAACAAACAGCTCAATAACACTAGAGTAGTGCAAAGTACAAGACAGGTAAGCAAATCACCAAAAAATATACAAATACAACTAAACCATCCCCATCCTACCAGGCAACGCCCAGTCAGGTATTAACTTATTTTTCAGAAGCTACTTGTTCACAAATGTGAACTCAACAAAGTGGCCCATCATTTGGACATTTATAGCAGCCAAAATAAACGAAATAAGCCACATGCATGTTTATAAATGTGGAGGGGAAAAAACCGGAGGACTTTTCATTTAAAAAAAAATCAGGATGAACAAGTCACCCCCGAATGGATCCGATCTCTTGCAAGAGACACCTGTGTGGGGGCATCGCTCTGCCAGTGGAGGGACAATGATCGCCAGCTATGGGTGGAGAATATTCCCGGTTGAGTAATCAGCGGCGACATTAAGTTTAGACCTTGACACACCGCCGGCGCACAATGGCCTACTCTTGCCAATGACATCATGGGACCTTTGACATCCAATTTGTAGCAGACGGTCGGGCGTGGTATCCTGTGCCCGCACCCGCAGTATTAACCAGGGCGGTCCTTGGACTCACACCGTGAACCTCTGCGACGAGCCACCGCTCAACCACGCCGCTGCCCCGATATCTCGTAAAGCTCAGCGGGCTTGAGCCTGGTTAGTACCTGAACGGGAGCAGTGGCTAGGAGATGTTAACTCCCTTGCCTGGTATGCAGGAAAATCCTGGGTTCTCTCCTGACCCTGATTCTTGGTGTATATTTGGAGTTTCCGTGTCTCTGTCTCTCCCCGAGGTCCCATGGATTTTTCTCCAGAGCTTCCGGTTTTTCGCTCCACATTTAGAATCATGCATTTAGAGTATTTGGCTACTATAAATATCCACGTGATAGTCCCTCTTTGTTGAGCTATCACCTGTGGCCAGGTCGCTTCTGAAAAAGAGCTATACAGCTCAGTGGACCTTACCTGGTAAAAGTAAAATTAGTTTAGTTTAGGGAGACTAACTGATAAATAACCAGTGGGCTGCTGAGTGGCCAGGAGATGGCCGTATCGGGATGGATGCTTGACTACCTGTGGGACGAAGCTCTCAGTCTCACCCTCCTTTGTGTACATGGGGTGTCTCTTGCGTTTTATATCAAAAACGTTTAAGCGTTTAAAAAAAGAGAAGAAAAACACCATCCGTACCAAACCATGGCATCATGGTTTACCAGGTAAGGCCCCACCGAGCTATGTAGCTCTTCTGCAGGAGCGATCCAGCCATCACAAATGATAGCTCAACGAAGTGGCTTATCATGTGGAAATTGATAGCAGCCAAATACTCTAAACGCGTGATGTTGATTCTAAATTTGGAGGGAAAAACCGGAGGACCTGGAGGAAAATCCACGCAACCACGGGAAGAACATGCAAACTCCAAATACACAGGCGTCAGGGTCGGGATCAAACCCACGACCTCCTGCATACCAGGCGAGGGAATTAACATCTTGCCACCGTAGCATTTCGTGTGGAGCAAGTGTGTGTTTACCTGGTAGCGGGTGGGATGCTGACCTATGCTGTTCATGCTTCGGTTCATGTTGCTCCTCAGGCTATACAGGTCCTGAGGAATGACATTTCGCACACACTCATGATAGCACAACCGTTGACGCACAACCTGTCGACAGTAGCCGTAGACAATTTGATTGAAGCTGGACAGACCCAACGACGAGCTATGGAGCCCTTTAAAACACAGGGTGTCCGGCTCAAAAGACGGGTTTGCAATGGCGGAATACAACAGAGGAAGTTAGATCACTCATTAAATTAAATGATGAGAGATTAACTCAAAACAACGGAATGATGCATGCTCTGTATGTATGTGAAGATTATAACTGTATAGCCGTAGACCATTGTTGGAAATTTCTTTCCTTGCTTAGGACCAAGTCGGACTTTCAGACACCTTTGGCGGGCAACCAAAGACACAGATCCCCCGTGTAGCCTTTAGCAGACTGTTGGGGCAAGTGCTGTTAGCGAGCACCTATGAAGGCTGGAACGGTACACGGGGGGCGTGGGTGGCCAGCACCACGTCCGGCCGCCTTTGTCTCCCTAGTGGCGATGTTTACACACCACACCAGATACTCATTTTGAGGCTGAGTCGAGCTAGGGGAGGACCGGTTCAGATAATCGTCACTGGTGTTGGACGTGCGCGAGAATCGAACCCGGGTCGCCGAGTTCGTAGCACACTCCACTCACTTTTCTCACTTCAAGGGTGTTGCAAGGTCAAACATATTTCCCTCTGGTACCCGATTTTTGTGGCTAAGATGCTCGCAGTCACAGATGAGTTATATTTATTAGGAGAAGCAACTGGAGTTACTCTTTGGTTATTTCGGTAAAGTCACGTAGAAGAAAATAAATTAAATAATAGAATGCAACGTTTTGATTGCAACACAAGCAGTCGTAATCAGGTAAAACTAAATTTGAGAGAGAGACAAAACACAGACACGGAGACACACAAGCAGAGAGAGACAACACAGAGACACACAGAGAGAGACACACAACATAGACACACAGAGACCCAATGCCTCTGTGTCGTGGCCTTAAATAGAGAGAGAGGGGGGGCAGAGAGAGAGGTGGGTCTACTAAAGCAGAGAAATTACCATGTCAATGAGAGAGCTGTGTGGAAATCCACCCCGCGGCGGCAGGGGGAGAGAAAGACCCAGCAAGACTGGTAAATTTTAGAGAGAGTTGTGTGGAAATCCTCCTCAAAGCGGGTGGATTTCCACACAGTTAACGCATAGCCGGCTCTTTGAGTTGCATTGCATTACATTTCCAAAAATTAGCTAAGGTTGTTTTCTCAAACTGCCTATTTCTCTCTCTAAAATTTACCAGGCTCTCATAGGTCCATTCACTCTTTCTCTCCCCCGGCCGCTTCGGGGTGGATTTCCACACAACTCTCTCATTGACATGGTAATTTCACTGCTCCAGCCGACCCACCTCTCTCTCTGCCCCCCCACCCTATCTCTCTATTTAAGGCCACGACACAGAGGCATTGGGTCTCTCTGTGTCCATGTTGTGTCTTTCTCTGTGTGTATCTGTGTTGTCTCTCTCTGCTTGTGTGTCTGTCTGTGTCTCTCCGTGTCTGTGTCTCCGTGTCTGTGTGTCTCCGTGTCTGCGTTTTGTCTCTCTCTCAAATGTAGTTCTACCTGATGACTGCTTGTGTTGCAATCGAAACGTCGTATTCTATTATTCAATTGATTTTCTTTCTATGTGACCTTACGGAAAGAACCAAAGAGTAGTTCCTGCAGTCAAGAAAGCTTTAAATCAAGCAACTGGAGCTATGCACTTTTTAATTAAGATTGAAAACTAATTTCTTTATAAATTTGTGTTTGTGTGTGTTGTTGTCCTTCCCCCACACCTCCGATTTACACGGTCGGCTGTGTACGGTGTGAAATACGTTCAACATATAAGACCGAAACAGGAGGAATTCTCCACAATTCTGGCTGTCGCCTGATGATGCTGGTGGTCATTGTAATCACGGGCGAAACGTGACGGTACAGTAATCCCTCGCCACTTCGCGGTTCAAGTTTCGCGGCCTCAGTGCATCGCGGATTTTTCAAAAATATTCATCGAAAAATAAAAATTCAAAAATACCGCCATATCGGCAGCCGTATTGCGGAAAGCAGCGTTGTTTCATCGTGATGCGCGAGAGAAACGGTTTCCCAGGATGCCAGACAAAGAGAGAAACTCTCTCAGAGGCTTTGTACATACTGTACCCACGGGCACTCAGACAAGGCACGTGATTGGTTCCCGGAGCGAGATCGACGAATGAGAGCACGAGTGGATGTACAGCATCCCGTGAGCTGATTGGCTGCGCATCATCGCATCCTCTCCCATACGTATCGTATGAGAGAGAGTGAATGTATAATATTAAGGTTTTATAATTAAATAGATTTAAGTAAAATATATGTGAGTGAGTGAATGTATAATATTAAGGTTTTATAATTAAATAGATTTAAGTAAAATATATATGAAGTATAAATATACATATTTTAAACATTCTGGTACCCACACACACATATACGGAAATTCCTAGGGGGCCAATCCTACTTCGCGGATTTTCACCTATCGCGAGGGGTTCCGGTCCCCATTAACCGCGATAAACGAGGGATCACTGTACTCCAACTGTAAACGTCGAGGTGGGTTTACTCTCCAACACACAACCGGTGTGTGGCTGTATTCGTAACAAAATGGCCACGTGTTGTTCACGTGACACAACCTTGCTAATTGGCTCTGGCGGGTGGTGGGGGCGGGCTTTGCAGCAGCACAACCGCACGGACGTGCAGTATTTGTCTGCTGCTATAAGTGTCCAGAATGATGGCTTTAATCTAAGTTGTCTTGTGGTTGTTGTTGTTTGTCTTACATCCCACTGGGATTTTTGCACAGCGTTGGTGTACGGTGCTTTTTTTTCTGGAAGACTGCAGTTTTTTCCTGGATTTTTCTGTTTGTGCACAGTCACTTTAAGATGTTTTCTTGTTCATGTTTTTGTTTTTTGTTTGTTGTGGTTATGTAAAGTAGTAACTCGGCGGGAGACGACTTCACGGGTAGCACACTCTTTTATTTCACCAACTTATAGTTACACGGGTGACTAACACCCACTCAGTTACACGGGTGACTAACACCCACTTAGCTACTCGGGTGACTAACACCCACTCAGCTACACGGGTGACTAACACCCACTTAGCTACTCGGGTGACTAACACCCACTCAGCTACACGGGTGACTAACACCCACTTAGCTACTCGGGTGACTAACACCCACTCAGCTACACTGACACGGGCTCTTACGCCCCGTAGCCTTCCGGAACACACCCGGCCGGGGTGTCCGTCTCGGCTCTGGGTACCACCGTCCCGACCCACACGGGCGTCGGACTACGGGTCCCCCAGTCTCGGCTCCGAGCTACACAGGGCCCCGGTCCTGACAAGGACGGCGGGACTAGGGGTCTCGGGCCACTACCTCCTCCACTCCGTCTTCGGTCTTCAACTGGTTAACAACGACCTCGAGTGCTCTCGCGCGTCCCCCTTTATGCACCTCCTGCGGACGTCGCTGAGAGCACCCATCCTATTTGACCAATCACTGCGCGCTGGCTACGATCCTGTTTTCCCACCTCGTGTCAGCGCGCCTCACCACCGGCGCGCGCGTCCATACCACGCCCACCTCGCGTGCCCAACCCCGCGCCCCGTGATCCATCACTGTCGGCGCACGTCAACACCACCACTACAGTTACACCCGATTCAAAAGCCGAATGGCTCACAGGGCTATACCAAATACATTAAACTGAAAAAAAAACTGAAAACGTGACGATGATGAGCCTCTTTGTTGAGCTCTCATTTGTGATGGCCAGGGTCACTTCTGAAAAAAGAATTACAAAGTTGAGCGGGGCCTTACCTGGTAAAATAAAATACAAATTTCAAATAGTTCAGTTCAAACGACACATGTTTATTTACGCGATCTATCCCCCTAAAAACTTCTATTATGAATACAGGGACTCCTCTACTTACGAACATTAGACTTAAGAACTTTCAGAGATACGAACAAACCTGTTCCGTATGTCCAGTTGCAGCTGTTCGGACCGAGAATCGTAAGTTCAACCACCGCGCAATAGATGGCAATGGTTGCATCTACATCTGCAGAACCTGAAGAACCAACGGCATCTACAGGAGATTCGACAATTTTTGAAGCCATTCCCCGTGTATAGTGCACATGCCGTACAACACGTTAGGAATCGACAGGAGTAAAGTTGACTTGCAAAAAATCGACTTACAAACAGACCTTTGGAACCGAACTTGTTTGTTAGTAGAGGAGTGCCTGTACATAAATACATATGTGGGCTGTTCTGCAGTGTTGGGCTTCATGAGGCCGTGGGCCGGTTTGGAATGGAACCGCGTCCCAGGCCACAGGTTCACCCTTTATACCCCTCATCAAATGAAAGCACCAGTAATTGAGCAGCTCGAGAGAGAGCGAGAGATAATAACTCTCATTCGGATCAGAATTTACTCACGTACACTTCGAGTACATTTATACCGGACACCATCACAACCCTGGTGAAGTCGTACTTTCAGGATCTGCAGTTCTGCTTCACCACCTCAGAGTTCACCACCTCATGGCAATGCCTGAATGTAGGTATAATGGCGGGATGTACCATTTCTCCATTGGCATTCATAATGGCAATGGAGGTTATCATCAGATCCTCAAAATGGGTTGCTGGTGGACAGCGAGTCGACTCTGGTTTTCGCCTCCCTCCACTCAGAGCCTACATGGACGACATTACAACATTGACCACCACTGTCCCATGCACCAGGAGACTGCTCAGAAAACTCGAGGAGAACATCAGCTGGGCCCGTATGAAGATTAAACCATCCAAGTCACGCAGCATCTTGATTGTGAAGGGAGTACTCTGTGACCTGAAATTCTTCATCGGAGATGACCAAATACCAACAGTGTCTGAGCAGCCAGTAAAAAGCCTTGGAAGGTGGTATGATGCAAGCCTGAAGGACAAAGACCAGGTGCAACAGCTGCGCAAAGACATCAGTAGTAGCCTACAGTCCATCGACAACACCCAGCTACCTGGAAAGTTAAAGGCCTGGTGTCTGCAGTTTGGTCTCCTACCCCAGGTGTTGTGGCCCCTAGCAGTGTATGAGGTTCCAATCTCAACAGTGGAGAAGATGGAAAGAGGAGTCACGAGCTACTTAAAGAAGTGGCTCGGAGTTCCACGATGCCTTACCACCATAGGCCTCTATGGAGATGGTGTCCTCAAGCTGCCCCTCACCAGTCTAACCGAGGAATTCAAGTGTGCAAAAACCAGGCTCCAGATGACACTGAATGAATCTCGAGACCCAGTGGTGAGCAACAACGCGCTGACCTTGGCAACTGGGCGCAAATGGAGGCCAGGAAAAGCAGTCCAGGAGGCAACAGCAGCCCTCAGACAGTGTGGGTCATGTTCAGCAAGGGAGAGGAGGCCTTGGGCTAACTAGCCGTGCTGCTTGGAGTAAGGCCACTGCACCAGAGCGGCGGAAGATGGTAGTGCAGAAAGTATGCCATCAGGAGGAGGCTGCAAGGTGGGCCAAGGCAGTCTCTCTTGCCAAACAGGGACAGTGGACTCGATGGGACAGTGTGGAGAAGAGGAAGATCAGCTGGACGGATCTGTGGGCCATGGAAGCGAGGCGGTTGAGCTTTTCCATCAGAGCAACATATGACGTCCTTCCAACACCAGTTAATCTTCACCAATGGTATGGTGAAGATCCGGACTGTGCTCTCTGTTCCATGCCAGCCAACCTCAGGCACATTCTCACAGGGTGTAAAACAAGCCTCACCCAAGGACGCTACACTTGGCGTCACAACCAAGTCCTTAAAAACCTTGCGTCCGCCCTAGAGGACAAGCGAGCTGCCACCAACTCCCTACCACCCCCAGCAGCATCACACCCCTTACGGACGACCTTTGTCCGCGAAGGGGCTAAACCACCGAAGAGCGGCTCTACACCAATAGAGCGAGACCAGCTGCGCTTGGCCCGCGACTGGAAAATGCTAGCTGACATTGGCCGGCAACTTGTGTTTCCTCCGGAGATCGCAACCACCACCCTAAGACCTGACATGGTGCTCTGGTCCCGTTCGCTCAAGAAGGTCTTCATCATTGAGCTCACAGTACCCTGGGAGGACTCAGTAGATGAGGCTTATGAGCGAAAACATCTGCGCTATGCCGATCTAGCTGCCGAAGCACGGCATCATGGCTGGAACACAGAAGTCCGACCAGTGGAGGTGGGCTGCAGAGCTTTTGTGGCAACATCTACAACCAGACTGCTTAGAGACCTGGGAATTAAGGGCGAGAGCCAGCGTTCGGCAATCAGAGCTGTATCGGAGGTGGCAGAAGGCAGCAGTCAGTGGCTCTGGATGAAGAGGAAAGACCACAGCTGGTCCCCAAAGTGAGAGGGCCAGGAGGTATGCAGTCAACAATGCTTGACTCAGGGAGGAGGACGCCCCTGCCATGCATAGTCCCATGGGATGTTGGCTATCAACAACAAGGCAACTCCTATGACTAATTGGGAATGGGACGCAAGCGTAGGATTGATCACCCTGTCGCTGGCCGCCTTTGGGGAGGGTGTATAGTATGAAAGGCCGAAACACCCTAGGAACCAAAGGTTCACTACTGACGATGCGCTCCCCAAATTTCACCAGGCTCACTGTTCATGAACTCTTGCAAGTGCTTGCACAAAGGATAGTAACATCTCATCCTGTGTTCTTTGGAATCTGAAACTCACGCGCGTTGAGTAAGCGTATTTAGAGAAAAAAACATCTGTTCATGTTGCTCAGATTATTTTGCTGCTATACGTGATGGGCCACTTTGTTGAGTTATCGTTTGTGATGGCCAGGTGGTTTTTGAAAAAATAAGCCAATATCTCAGTTGGCTTTACCTTTTAAGATTAAACAAGATATATCTGAAGTGATTTGTTTATCTTTCCTATACTTTGCACTCCTATCGTGTTTTTGTATTGTATTTGTTGTTGTAATGTTCTGATCCGCCCCTACTGGACATCTGTGGAAAAAAAAGCATTATAACTCGTCGGATTTTTCCAATATCAATAAATATTCTGATTCTGAAGTATTTTGAACTTCTTTCACACCGTACATATCCAACCATGCTAATCGGTGGTGCGGGCGAAAGACAACAAACTACACACAAAATGCAGTTCGAAAGAAATAAGTTAATGTGTTGTGAGCGATCATCTCTTAAGGCTAACTCTATGCACATATACACACACACCTGTGCACGAAAAATCATGCACACATGATACACAGCTGTAGCCAAACAAACATGCGTGCACATCTGCACAAAATAACATCCAAATAACTATTAACTTGGGGTTCACAGCGGTGTTGTGAGGGTGGGAGATTCAGGGCACCACTGATGCTATTAAAAATGCTGCGTCTCCAATTGCCAAATTAGCGGTCGGATTTATCGTAGAGCAAGCGGTCCCTGCTGTTTACGACGTCGCAATGCGATCCTGGAAACCCCTTCATTGTCGTAAATCAGGACCTCTGTTTTCTGATAGACCAGCGGTTCTTAACCGTTACTGCAGCCTTGCATCCCTTTGGTTCTCAATCGTAAAAAAAAAGTATAATATTAAGAAATACACAGGGTTTGATGAAACAAAGTAGTTGTACTTACGTGCCCATGCTTAATTTGTGTTTTCGATGATTTACCTTCGAGAAAAAAATCTGGCTGCGTCTCGCACCCCCAGACAGGGCATCTTGCACTCCCAGGGGGTGCGTGCACCCCAGGTTAAGAATAACGACATTGCCATAGACGGTCGAAACAGGAGAGACGTCACTTGCCGGTGTGTCTTTTTTCTCTTCTTTTTCGTATTTATCAGCCGTTTTTATTTAGCGGGGTTTATGAAGAGGTAAAAGTCGTCCACACAAAACAACTCGAGAATAACTAAAGGCTCGGAAACGCCGGGAGACGTCGGAAAACCGGAATGCGGAATGAATTTACGTTTGGGAATCATGTCGGATAGTTTAGTAGTATAAACGTAATACTGTATGTGGATTGTCGCAAATCTGACCATCGTAAACCGGAGACCACTCTGTGCTCCAGTATTACATTTCAATGATTATTAATGTTTTAATATTTCTGTATACATTTGGTAGCTCCCTCAGAATCCATGACCATGGCCTACAGCCCTGAAAGCTCCTACATTATTCCAGCCCTCAATATTTCCCTGTCACCAGGGATTAATTTGGCTCTGAACATTTTCTGTAACGCTCCAAGGATTATTTTTTTTTCCTCTCTCAGTATATTCTGAAATGCTCCGAGGCTTGCTCGCTTGCAGTAAGGGATTATTACCTAAGGGCACTACCGCTGAGCACAGATTATGCCTTTCCAAAATTTAAGCCTTTGTTATTTGTACCCTCCATTGCTGTAATCTTCATTTCTATAAGCCTGCCAGGTGGATGCGGCGTGCCAAAATAATTCCCGGCACAGTCTTCCGGACCTTTTCCAGCTGAAATTAAGGACTTCATTTTGAGCGATTGCATGCCAATTTTGCAGCGGTTTCCCGATCTCTCTGGACACGCGCAACCTTGGCAACCCTCAAAACATCCTCACGTCATAAATGATTAATGAGCATTTGGAAAACTCTCCGCTGCCACCCCACATATTGCAATTCACTACTCTACGGGACAGCTGGAAAAAACCTTAGCAAGCTGCAGCGTGTAGAACAATCTTTGCCACTTGTCGTGATGGATACTGCAAGATACGACCGTGTCCGTCCAGTGCTTGCCGAGCTGCATTGACTTCCGGTTGCCGAACAAACACATTGTAAGGTCGCAATCATCACACACAAAGTGCTTGCCACAAACGAGCAGCAATACATTTGCTGATCTCGTCAAGGAGCATAAATTACCATCACGTGGGCTCCAGTCATCCTCGCAGTGGGGGCTTTTGGCCGGCGGTTGAACAAAGACAGTAACCGAATCGCTGCGCTTTCAGATACGCTTCTGCGGCCGTCTGGAACGCTCTTCCTTCTGACATTAGGAAGCCACTGGGAGCTATGCACTTTTAAATAATCGAGATTGACAAATTAATTTCTTTAGAACAGTTTTTTGTAGTTTTGTTTCGTATGTTGTCCTTCCCCCTGCACTACCAATAGGCACCGTTGGAAAGGATTTCAACGTGCACGCGTACAAAACAAAACCGATGTATCTGCTCCAGTTCCACTGAGCACTCCTCATGCCCTCACGGCCACCGGCACGTGTCCACGATCCACAACCCGGGAAGAGCTGGCGTGCGCACGCGGTATGTTCGCGCGGCGCGAGCGAACGCACCTTGGCCTTGACGTCCAGCATGTCCATCTCCACGTCCAGCTTGCCCTTGTGCTCGCGCCAGCGGCACAGGCGGCCGAGGGCGCGCACCGCTGCCAACAGAAGCTGCACGGCCGACTTGGGGCTGGGCACGAGGTTGAAGGGCACGGGCAACGTGCGGCCCTGCTCGAAGTACGAGATCCAGAGCTTGGCGCGAGCGAACTTCCACTCCACGTCCGAATCGTCCTGCCGGTGAAGTATTTTTTTCGGCATGAGAACGACTGTCAAATACATATTTTTTTAGACGCACACAGACAAATATCCCCGGCGCAGCCTGTGACAGACTGTTGGGGCAAGTGCTGTTAGCGAGTCGCAGCACCTATGAAGGCCGGCACTGTGGCACACGAGGGGGTGGGTTGGCCAGCACCAAGCCCGGCCGCCTTTGTCTCCCCAGTGGTGATGTTTTTACACTCCGCACCAGGTACTCATTTGAGGCGAGTCAATGAGTCTCTCTGTGATAGCCAGGTCGCTTCTGAAAAATATCTACGTAGCTCAGTGGGCCTTACCTCCAGATAGCATGGTTGGCTAAGTACGGTGCGAAAGAAGTTCAACATCCGTACAGACATACATTCGTCGCACCGTTCAGGAAGGCATCCGCGACATAAACCGGAATGATTACCGTGCAGTGCAACAATGGGCCCTTGCTGCATTGCCCTCTGGCTGACGATTGTGTTATATACAGGAGATCATCGATTATCTGGTGGCTTTCTGCACGTTCTTAAAAGGCGTTATGTTTTAGGTGCTGTTTGTATGTGTTTTCAATTTGTTTACAATATAAAAATGTCAATAAATAAACAGACAAAAATAAATATCCTATTGTGAAGAGTGACTATTTACTGTACCATACTTACCACTCCGATCTCGAAGACTCCGCATCATGGGGTGTGATGTATGTAGTGCCGCTAGGCTCTTGTTTCAACACAACCACTCGAGTTTGATGATCGCCGGGCTGATGCAGCCTTGAGAGCGGTGCTCCGGCGAACGCCGAATAACACAACGCACTTTTTTGCCAGATCTCACCGTCTGTATTGTTTTTATCACCGTCGTTATAAGTCATGAAAGATGTAGACACGTGTAGTATTGTCATTGTTCAAGGTGTATGTAGTGTATAATGTACCGTATATACTATCTGACGCTGAAATCAAGCGCAGCTCCTTTTTTTTTGTCACACACACGGTGCCGATTGCCGGACTAGGTTACAGCCTTTGGAGCGGTTTGTTGTCGGTTTCACCGGATCGGCCCGGGACCGCCGGATAAAGTTGGAAGCCGGATAATCGCTCCACCGGATAATCGGTGATCGATTTTACATCTTAATTTAACAACTACAAGCTCTCTTTATATATATTTTGTTGACGTGAAGGCAACATTTAACACGTAGGCTTTCGCGACCAATATCGCCCATAATAGAGGAGTTGTTTTTGGGTTAGATCGCGTAAATATCTAAATGTGTCGTTACAACCCACCACCACCCGACACAGCCAACTAGTAAGGTTGTAAATGTTGAGGCTTGGCTCTCCAACACACCGGTGTGCTGTACTAGTGACGAATTGGCACGTTCTGTGTCGGGTGGTGGCGGGTTTTAACGACACATTAATATATTTACGCGATCTAACCCAAAAAAAAATCCTCTATTATGGGAAGCAACATTGTCCGCCCCCCACATTCCTCACCTCGATCTCCTGGTAGGAGCTGTTGATCATGGCGATGAGCATGTTGAGCAGCACCACCACCATGGTGACGTTGTAGACCCCGTAGAGGATGTAGCCGATGTTCTCGATGAACTTGTGGTTGTAGTTGATGACGACCGAAGCCACCTCGGAGAGGCCGAAGATCGACCAGAAGAGGGTCTTGAAGCTTTCCTCAACTCTGCGCGTGTTGGTGCGGCGCAAATGATCGGTGGTGGGGGGAGGGGTAAAAGGGGGGGGGGGATAAACGTCAACATTTCCCGGGGGGCCAAGGGAATTGCAGCAGCATGGGGCACGGAGTCTGATACGATACGGTCAATACACGGCTGGACGAGAGACCTCCTGCCACTTAACCACATGGGATGCATAGATAAAATAAAACTACCACACGCATGGCCCGCTGAGCTATATACAGCTCGTTTCATAAGCGACCTGGCCGTCACAAATTATGGCTAAGCGAAGCGGCTTAAAACGTGGACATTTATAGCGGCCAAATACTCTTAAACGCATGATGTCGATTCTAAATGTGGAGGGAAAAACCGGAGGACCCGGAGAAAAAAATCCACGCGACCAAGGGGGAGAGGAAGACACCGCAGGATCGAATCCACGACCTCCTGTATATCAGTGGCGCGGGTGTAATAATGAGAAAATAATAAACCATGGGTTTCATTGCAATGCCCACTGATGGTCACTACGTAGACCCACAGCCGTGGTCGCGTGGTGCTGATGCATGGTGGTCACGTGGTCTTCAGAATCATTCAGATTTTTTTATTTCGCCTGGAAGAATCCGTTGAAATACAAAGCTCTTTTCTACCGATGTCCAGTAAGGGGCGGGTCAGTAAGTTACAACAAACAATATAAAAACACCAAAGGGGTACAAAGTAAAGGAAAGATAAGCAAGTCACGAGATAAAACCAAATAAAGTATATAAGTACATGGTTGTCAGTTTATCAACATAAATATGCCTCGGTTAAATGTCCTTGATTGAGCACGGTTCTCCTCACAGCACGGTTGGCTATGTACGGTGCAAACGAAGTTCAAGATTACATACATACATTTAGCCAATAAACCAGCCTAGAGGGCCTTGATTTAACCGGCCTGAGGTCTGGTCAATTGCATTGCCTTCCACAGAGCCCAGCAGCCTATAATGCATCGTGGTTGTTCATCCAAGCACCCGCCAGGCTCAACTCTCCTTCGCTTCTGATATTTGGATGAGGTGGGCTGCATTGCGGGTAATTTGTGTGTATATATACGTTGAACTTCCTTCGCACCGTACGTAGCCAACCCCGCTCATCGGAGGTGCAGTGTTAGTCTATGGGTAGTATTGAGCCTATGGGTAGTGTTGAGTCTATGGGCAGTGTTGAGTCTATGGGCAGTGCTGAGTCTATGGGTATCGTTAGTCGATGGGCAGTGTTGAGTCTATGGGTAGTGTTGAGACTATGGGTAGTGTGAGTCTAGGAGTAGTGTTAGTCTATGGGCTGTGTTGAGTCTATGGGTAGTGTTGAGTCTATGGGCAGTGTTGAGTCTATGGGCAGTGTTGAGTCTATGGGTAGTGTTGAGTCTATGGGCAGTGTTGAGTCTATGTGCAGTGTTGAGACTATGGGTAGTGTGAGTCTACGAGTAGTGTTAGTCTATGGGCTGTGTTGAGTCTATGGGTAGTGTTGAGTCTATGGGCAGTGTTGAGTCTATGTGCAGTGTTGAGACTATGGGTAGTGTGAGTCTACGAGTAGTGTTGGTCTATGGGCTGTGTTGAGTCTATGGGTAGTGTTGAGTCTATGGGCAGTGTTGAGTCTATGTGCAGTGTTGAGACTATGGGTAGTGTGAGTCTACGAGTAGTGTTAGTCTATGGGCTGTGTTGAGTCTATGGGTAGTGTTGAGTCTATGGGCAGTGTTGAGTCTATGTGCAGTGTTGAGTCTATGGGTAGTGTGAGTCTACGAGTAGTGTTAGTCTATGGGCAGTGTTGAGTCTATGGGTAGTGTTGAGTCTATGGGCAGTGTTGAGTCTATGTGCAGTGTTGAGACTATGGGTAGTGTGAGTCTACGAGTAGTCTTAGTCTATGGGCTGTGTTGAGTCTATGGGTAGTGTTGAGTCTATGGGCAGTGTTGAGTCTATGTGCAGTGTTGAGACTATGGGTAGTGTGAGTCTACGAGTAGTGTTAGTCTATGGGCTGTGTTGAGTCTATGGGTAGTGTTGAGTCTATGGGCAGTGTTGAGTCTATGTGCAGTGTTGAGACTATGGGTAGTGTGAGTCTACGAGTAGTGTTAGTCTATGGGCTGTGTTGAGTCTATGGGTAGTGTTGAGTCTATGGGCAGTGTTGAGTCTATGTGCAGTGTTGAGTCTATGGGTAGTGTGAGTCTACGAGTAGTGTTAGTCTATGGGCAGTGTTGAGTCTATGGGTAGTGTTGAGTCTATGGGCAGTGTTGAGTCTATGTGCAGTGTTGAGACTATGGGTAGTGTGAGTCTACGAGTAGTCTTAGTCTATGGGCTGTGTTGAGTCTATGGGTAGTGTTGAGTCTATGGGCAGTGTTGAGTCTATGTGCAGTGTTGAGACTATGGGTAGTGTGAGTCTACGAGTAGTGTTAGTCTATGGGCAGTGTTGAGTCTATGGGTAGTGTTGAGTCTATGGGCAGTGTTGAGTCTATGTGCAGTGTTGAGACTATGGGTAGTGTGAGTCTACGAGTAGTGTTAGTCTATGGGCTGTGTTGAGTCTATGGGTAGTGTTGAGTCTATGGGCAGTGTTGAGTCTATGGGCAGTGTTGAGTCTATGGGCAGTGTTGAGTCTATGGGTAGTGTTGAGTCTATGGGCTGTGTTGAGTCTATGGGTAGTGTTGAGTCTATGGGCAGTGTTGAGTCTATGGGTAGTGTTGAGTCTATGGGCAGTGTTGAGTCTATGGGCAGTGTTGAGTCTATGGGCAGTGTTGAGTCTATGGGTAGTGTTGAGACTACGAGTAGTGTTAGTCTATGGGCAGTGTTGAGTCTATGGGCAGTGTTGAGTCTATGGGCAGTGTTGAGTCTATGGGCAGTGTTGAGTCTATGGGCAGTGTTGAGTCTATGGGTAGTGTTGAGACTACGAGTAGTGTTAGTCTACGAGTAGTGTTAGTCTATGGGCTGTGTTGAGTCTATGGGTAGTGTTGAGTCTATGGGCAGTGTTGAGTCTATGTGCAGTGTTGAGTCTATGGGTAGTGTTGAGACTACGAGTAGTGTTAGTCTACGAGTAGTGTTAGTCTATGGGCTGTGTTGAGTCTATGGGTAGTGTTGAGTCTATGGGCAGTGTTGAGTCTATGTGCAGTGTTGAGTCTATGGGTAGTGTTGAGTCTATGGGTAGTGTTGAGTCTATGGGCAGTGTTAGTCTATGGGCAGTGTTGAGTCTATGTGCAGTGTTGAGTCTATGTGCAGTGTTGAGTCTATGGGTAGTGTTGAGTCTATGGGCAGTGTTAGTCTATGGGCAGTGTTGAGTCTATGTGCAGTGTTGAGTGTATGTGCAGTGTTGAGTCTATGGGTAGTGTTGAGTCTATGGGTAGTGTTGAGTCTATGGGCAGTGTTAGTCTATGGGTAGTGTTGAGTCTATGGGTAGTGTTGAGTCTATGGGCAGTGTTGAGTCTATGTGCAGTGTTGAGTCTATGGGTAGTGTTGAGTCTATGGGTAGTGTTGAGTCTATGTGCAGTGTTGAGTCTATGTGCAGTGTTGAGTCTATGGGTAGTGTTGAGTCTATGGGTAGTGTTGAGTCTATGGGCAGTGTTAGTCTATGGGCAGTGTTAGTCTATGGGTAGTGTTGAGTCTATGGGTACTGTTGAGTCTATGGGTAGTGTTGAGTCTATGGGCAGTGTTGAGTCTATGGGTAGTGTGTATGTTGAACTTCGTTCGCACTGTACTTAGCCAACCGTGCTAATGGGAGTTGCGGGGAAAGGACAACAACACAATAAATGTGGCCGTTGGAGAAACACAAAAGGATTATTAAAAATGTGATGAAGACTTTAAAGGTTGAATAAAGTTACCTATTTTTAAATTGTGGTACAGCGGTTGCTGTGGCGCTACGAATCCGGTAATCCGAGTTCAACAACCTTCGCTGAGCCGCAATGACCAGCGTGGTGAAGCATGGCCCCAAAAAAAGCCATGAAAGACATGGCTTGGAGTAGCCTCCACCCATTGGTGGATTAATATTCATATTAAAAGAAAGTGAATTTTAATTATGCAATGAAAATATGTCGACCAATTTTGCAAAATTTGATTTATTACGTAATCCATAGAAAAAAAATCTTATTTAACCGTTTATACTTTTGAGAACTCTCCACGATCTGATGCATTGGGGGAATTCTAATGTAGCCACTTTGAGATCGTTTGTGCCACCATTTTGGCGAGAAAATGGGTCACAGACGGAGCTTAATGTTAGATTTTTTTAAACCATGCAAAACATTGTGAGGAAATTACAAAGCGGTACTGAGAAATACAAAATTGCCGCAACCCTCCGCGGACTTGATGGCAGACTTTATCAAAGCTTCCTGCAAGCAAAACAAATTGGTCGCAATGCCATCCAGTTACTGTGGAAGTTTAGTGCAGTCATTGCCGTAGGCCCTGAGTTGCAAATAATGAATGTGCCCTCGGAGGGAACCGCACTCATTGCAGAAATTAGTTTTTTTGTTCACACATCCACATCTTAAATCTCACAAAGGCAAGGCAAAGATCACCCATATAGTTTCAACAGACTGTAGGGGCAAGTGCCGTTAGCGAGCAGCACTTATGAGGGCCGGAACGGAACAGGAGAGGGTGGTTGGCCAGGACCCCAGAGGCGATATTTACACACCCCACCAGTTACTCATTTGAGGCTAAGTCGACCTAGGGGAGGCCCAGGACCAGTTGACATAATCGTCACTGGTGTTGGCCGTGAGCGGGAATCGAACTCGGGGTGCCGGATTCATTGCGCAGCGTAGCGTTAACCACTACACTGCCGCTCCCCACCTTAAATCTCACACGCACGGGACGAGCATTTCATAATCACGGAGAGGCCACGCTGATGCTTGTCTCTCGATTAGCCCAATGATGGTTCATCACGCGAACTCCTGTGGTCATCCTCGCAGCAGCGGCTTGTTTTGGCTTTCGGATGTGCTTCTGCGGCTGCCTGGAATGCTCTTTCTTCCAATATTAGGAAGCCGCTGGAGCTATGCACTTTAAATCATGTAGATTGAAAAATCATTTCTGTAGAGCTGCTTTTTGTGTTTGTTGTCCTTCCCCCGCGACTCCGATTTACGCAGTTGGCAACATACGGTGCGAAATAAGTTGAACATACATACGACACTATACACTACACTATCATACACCACACTATCCACGACACTGCACTGTACACTACACTATGCACTTCACTATACAATACTATACACTATACCAGTATACTAAATTGAAAACTCATTTCTTTAGAACTGCTTTTTCTGTGTTCATTTGTTGTCCTTCCCCCGCACCGCCCATGAGCACGGTTGGCAATGTATGGTGCGAAAGAAGTTCAACATACGTACTATACTATACACTGCACTATAGACTACACACACTATGCTATACACTACACTATACACTACAATACACTATACTATACACTACTATCCACTACACTACTATACACTGCACTATAGACTACACACACTATGCTATACACTACACTATACACTACAATACACTATACTATACACTACTATCCACTACACTACTATACACTGCACTATAGACTACACACACTATGCTATACACTACACTATACACTACAATACACTATACTATACACTACTATCCACTACACTACTATACACTACACTATACTCGCTTGAAAACATATTTCGTTACAACTGCTGTTTGTGTTTAGTTTGTTGTCCTGCCGCCGCACATCCGTTTAGTGCAGTTGGCTGCGTATGGTGCGAAAGAAGTTCAACGTATGTACGCACGGACATTCAGGAATTCTCATCACGATACGTGAGACGTGGCCGTGGAGCAACAGTCGGCACAGCAGACTTGCAATCTGGAGGTCGCCAGTTCGACCTCCCAATTTGAACCTCGTCCAATTTGAGCAACGTCGACTCTTTATTGACGACACCTTTTGCGACTGCTGTTCGTCGCTGCTGGCCGCTCGGCGTTTTGACCTTTCGGGGTGCCCCGTGGGTCAAAATGAGGCTAACTGCTGGACGCCTGTGAAATAGATCTTCTAAGTCTTCTTGGTTCTTTCGATAAAGGAACGAAGAAGGGAAATAATAAAATAATAAAAATAAAACTGAATTAAATACAATTATTATGTTTATTTTATTTTATTATTTCCCTTCTACGTGACTTTACTGGAAGAACCAAGAAGATGAATCCCTGCAGTCACGAAAGCTTTAAATCGAGAGCTTCTAAGCTCATTGGATTTCTCATCAGGATACAAAAGAAAGATTCTGATATCGAGGCCCACTCTGACCAGAACCTCCCTCCCATCCTAACCCTCCCCAAATCCTCAAAGAGACTCACGTGACAAAGGCGCGGTTGACCTTGGCGCCCCGGTAGTATGAGTATAGGTTGAACATGCCGATCATGAAGGCCAGGAAGACCATGATGAAGATGACCATGAACTTGAAGATGTCCTTCACCGTCTGGCCCAGGGAGATCTGAAGGGGCCCAAAGCTCTCGTTGGCCGGCAGGATGTAGGCGATGCGCGAGAAGCTCAGCACAATGGCGATGGAGTAGAGGCCCTCGGAGATGATCTGAGGGTCCGAGGGGAGCCAGTGGCTCCGAGCTGGTGGGGTAGACAGACGCGCACGCGCGCACACTTATCAAATTGTTGGACAAGTAGCTTCCGCATTTTTTTCCCCCACCACGCAAGCGAGCCAGAGCCGCCGCCATCGCCGCCGAGGGGCAGGCCATGCCAAATCGGCCCTCAGCATAGCTCCGCAGGTGCCGGCATTGATTTTTTATTCCACTGCAGAAAGCCAAGCCGTGCCATGACGTGCCGTGACAGTTTAAAAGACAATGCAGATACTATCAGAGAATTTATTTTTCATGTTCACCACAAGTATATGTGGTTAATGCAGTGTTTTAACATCTTAACACCTGTTTTAGTGACAGAAATGGTAAAACCTATTCTTATACTTTGATACTGGCAAGGGAGGTCCCGTGATGTAGCTGCTCGCCCCGAGTTCGCAATGTTCTGATAGTACGTTGTCTTTGTGCTGTTCACCTTTTGGCGTCGTCTGGTCTAACACCATTTGAGACTAGGCTCTAAAGAAAGCTGTCTCTGGTGTGGACCAATCCATTTGAAAGACGATGCTTATACTATCAGAGCATGTTTTTTTTGCATGTTCACCACAAGTATGTGTGGTTAATGCAGACATGATTCCTTGCAAAAGGTTTAAGTTTGGTGTTTTAACATCCTAACACCTGTTTCATTGCCAGAAGGGGTAAAACCTATTTTTACACGCCAATCTAGCCCGAAATAAACTTAATTTTGAAACGCATATTATCTGCACCCACTTATAGAAATAAACTAATTATGAATCGCATCTTATTTGCAGCCACGCAAGCTGTTTTTTTGGTATATTTCCATGATTTTGAAGCTCAAAATGACAATGGTTATTAATGTTTACGTTGTTTACGCTTGAGATGTTGAGCCCTGATAGCAGCAGCACTTGTGCCTGTGTGCGACGATTGCCAAGCGGGGCTTTAGTGTCCCCTTTTAGGCAGCACAGATCCTGACCAGTAGTCACTTTCACTTAAATTTGAAAGTGCGAATGAATCTGGCTCCATCCGCGATGCAGAGGTCACGGCGACTCTCGTGAAAGGGGGGCTCCGACGTCGCGCTTCACGCTGAGAGGGGCTTTTCGATGCACATTAAACACCGGCCAAATTGATCAAAGGGGTTGCCGTTTCGTCAACTCGGCCGCCGTACAACTGACAAGGTCACGTCGTAATCGCCCGTCAAATACCTCCAGAGACCAACGCGCGTTGGATGGCGTTGCACGGATTCGATGCGCGCATGCAATTCCTCACTCATCGTTTTAGAACAATAGCAGTACGCTCCACGGTGCCACGTCACCTCTGTGTACACACAGCGGTTCAGCCGTTATTGCACTGACCACGAGCCTGCCCCATCGATTCATAAATAATTTATACATCATCACGACCACGCATATATGCACACGGCGCATGAATATTGCACAAATTGCATGAAATTGAAGTGTCGGTCACCGCCACCATCATCGTCATCGTCGTCGCAGCAACAAACTTTCCCCCCTGGAGGCAGAAATTTAGCGGGCGGTTATCACATTAATCTTTCATCATCTTACATCAAAATCGCGATGGGCGAGGAAGGTGCGATATTGGCATTTGCAATTGCCCGGCTTGCATTCATTGTGAGGACAATAAAAAAAAATTGTAATGACTCTGAGACTCGTTCTTGCTTTACTAAGAGTCTTTATTGTGGACACCAACAACTATTCCTAGACTCGGGCTTGGTTCTCGATTCTCGAATGTCATCTCTCCAAGCTGCCCCTTCCCTTCGTGCTATCCCCCTTTAATATCCCTCGAGCCCCCTTTCTGGAAGGTTCGCTCAGCCCCAATTCCTTCAGCCAATCGTCGTCCTCCTTCTCTTAACAGTTGTAAATCGTCACACCGATAGTCAACCCTCGTTTTCCGCCTGTTACGTTTGAATTGCTCTACTTATTAGTTTTAATTATCTGGTCGTAGCCAATCCCCTTTGAGGCCTCTCTGCACCAATCAGAGGGTTTGACGCACGCATATGTAAGTGGTCCCTTGTTTTCAATCTTTACATAATTATTAATTATTTTCCTGCATAAATGCGGAGCAGTGCAGGAACCTCGTAAGTAAGTACGAAAAAAACAACAACACACCCGGTCATAAATTCGGCACTTAGAGCCACTTTAAAACTGAGGACACCACTTTAGGATGTGATTGAAAATGCATTCGGTGAGAAAGCGGCAAAACGCCGCTCCAATCGTCTTGACAATCGCCGCTCCAATCGTCTTGACAATCACCGCTCCAATCGTCTTGACAATCGCCGCTCCGATCGTCTTGACAATCGCCGCTCCAATCGTCTTGACAATCACCGCTCCAATCGTCTTGACAATCGCCACTCCGATCGTCTTGACAATCACCGCTCCAATCGTCTTGACAATCGCCGCTCCAATCGTCTTGACAATCGCCGCTCCAATCGTCTTGACAATCACCACTCCGATCGTCTTGACAATCACCACTCCGATCGTCTTGACAATCGCCGCTCCAATCGTCTTGACAATCGCCGCTCCAATCGTCTTGACAATCACCACTCCGATCGTCTTGACAATCACCGCTCCAATCGTCTTGACAATCACCACTCCGATCGTCTTGACAATCACCGCTCCAATCGTCTTGACAATCACCGCTCCAATCGTCTTGACAATCACCACTCCGATCGTCTTGACAATCACCGCTCCAATCGTCTTGACAATCACCGCTCCAATCGTCTTGACAATCACCGCTCCGATCAGCTTGACAATCACCGCTCCGATCGTCTTGACAATCGCCGCTCCAATCGTCTTGACAATCGCCGCTCCAATCGTCTTGACAATCGCCGCTCCAATCGTCTTAACAATCACCGCTCCAATCGTCTTGACAATCACCACTCCGATCGTCTTGACAATCACCGCTCCAATCGTCTTGACAATCACCGCTCCAATCGTCTTGACAATCACCGCTCCGATCAGCTTGACAATCACCGCTCCGATCGTCTTGACAATCGCCGCTCCGATCGTCTTGACAATCGCCGCTCCGATCGGAGCGGGCACATTGGAGAGGGGGGGGGAGGGCGGGGTGACCCGATTGACCCCGCCGCCGCCACTGCCGCCCCGCGGGTCTCTCGCGTTCTAATTCGCGGCAGACGGCTTGGCGGCAGTCAGCGGACAGCCGTGAGGATGACAACGGTTTTACTCTCTGTGTGCGCGAAATGAGTCGGTGGTGGGCGGTGAGCGGTGACCACTCAATTGGCCGGCCGGGCTAAAAGCTGCCGAACGTTTCCAAAGTAATGTCCCTTTAATTGCAAACGTGCTTTTCATCATTATTATTATTATTCTGGATGAAGGCCTACCAAAGTAGTCACCATCTCACACGATTCTGAAATGTAATGATACAAACAACTCATTCACACACAAGCTTCAAATGTACGTGGAATTTAATGGTCAGCTTCTCTAATTGCCGTCATTCCCATTAGCCATGGGGTAGGGTTCCTCGTCAGCTTTCCTCCTTCCTCTTGTGATCCTAATTCGTTGATTCAACCTCTCAATCTCACCCCCAATTCCATCTCGTCCTCCCCAAGGCAGCCCAGCCACCTTGTTTGCTGTCTCTCCCCTGAATCATCCCCTCTTTAATTTTTTTCATCAAAGACATTCTTCAAAACCTGATCTAAGCTCTTCCTCACCGTGGTGGCAAGATGTTAACTATCTCGCCTGGTATACAAGAGGTCATGGGTTCCATCCCGACCCTAACGCCTGCTGTATATTTGGCGATTTTTTACGGGACCCTACGGGTTTTCCCTCCACATTTAGAATCAACGTCGCGTGTTTAAAGTATATGGCTGCTATAAAATTCCACGAGATGATAAGCCACTTCGTTAAGCTGTCATTTGTGGCCAGGTCGCTTGTGCAAAAGAGATGTAAACATAAGTTGGGCCTTATCTGGTAAAATACTAAAATTGTTTAGTTTAACAATTGAGTATATTTTGATTTAAAGCTTTCGTGACTGCAGGGATTCATATTCTTGGTTCTTTCGGTAAAGTCACGTAGAAGGGAAATAATAAAATAATACAAATATAAAACAATAAAAATTCTCACGACGTTTCGACTGCAACACAAGCAATCATCATCACCTGATGATGAGAATTTGTATTGTTTTAATATTTGTATTATTTTATTATTTCCCTTCTATGTGACTTTACCGAAAGAACCAAGAATATGAATCCCTGCAGTCACGAAAGCTTTAAATCAAAATATACTCAATTGTTAAACTAAACAATTTTTGAACCAAGAATATAATTGAGTATATGTATACACCACCTTAGTATTGCGCCTGTCACCTTACTCAGCACGGGGCTGGCCCGTGCCTCATCCCTCTTCTCCTCAAGCGTGAGATGTTCTTGAGGACCAGGTGGCGTTACAACCTTCATGAATTTAATTTTGAAATCTTTCTGCAACGCTTCGCTTTTATTGTCTGGCTTTCTGCACCCCCACCACCGCCGGCGGAACAATGAGACGTGAGATGGGGGGGGGGTTGTGGGGCCTCAATCCAGCAGCGGATTGTTCTTAGCCGATTACGACGATGGATTTGATGCATGGCTCTTGCACACATTGCCATGGTGGTGCCATACAACTCTCCGACGCGTTGCGGGTTGGACCGCGAGTTGTTCATCGTTCGACGTCCAATATTCCGCTCCACACGCCCGGAGCTTCTTAGTCAAAAACCGAATTAAAAATCACGAAAAGACTTCCGGCTCGCTGATGGAAACGTTGGACTTCGAAGGATGCCCGGTACAAACCCAGAGAGCGTCGGGCGGCACCCACAGGGTCGGGAACGCCGTGAGGAAAGCAATTCGGGAACGCCGTCCGGGACGACGCTGGGAACGGTACACCAGGAACGCCATCGGGAATGCGGGTTGAGAACGCATGTGGGGAATGCCATCAGGAACACGCATCGGGAACGCCATCAGGAACGCGAATTGGGAACACGCGTTTGGAACGCCGTCGGGAACGTGCATTGGGAACAAGTGTCGGGAACGCCGTTGGGAACGCTGGCGGGAACACGCATCTGGAACGTTGTCGGGAAGGCTGTTGGTAACGCCGCTGGGAATGCGCATCGGGAACGCCATCGGGAACGTGCGTTGGGAACAAGCATCGGGAATGCCGTTGGGAACGCCGGTGGGAACGCCGTTGGGAAAACCGTTGGGAGCATGATCGTGAACTCGGTCGAGAATGCGCGTTGGGAACGCCATTGAGAACACCATTAGGAACGCTGTCAGAAATGCCGTCGGGAATGCACGTTGGGAACGTCAGCAGCGGAGGAGGGAGCAGCCCATCCAAGAAATACGCTGAAACAGCATGCCTACACAGGTACTGTACGTCGATGGTGATTAACTGTGAGCAGCCAGTAATGGACACTCTGTATCTTCTGCAATACAATTTACATAATTAATTATATTAACATAATAATTAACTGTGCATAACCCTACTAATAATAGATATCCATAGTAATGGATATGGCTACATTAACCCCCACTCTGATCTTCGCAGCTGACATCGCATTTATCCCCCCTATTTAAGACCGATGAGGAGGAGGATTTCTCCACAATTCTGGCTGTAGCCTGATGAGGCTGGTTGTTGTATTTATAGGTAAAACGTCACGGTACTCGAATTGTAAATGTTGTGGTTTACTCCTCAACACACCGGTGTGCTGAACTAGTAATTCATTTCCATGTTTTCTTTACGTGACAATCCTTGCTGATTGGCTGTGCCAGGTGGTGGCTGGTTTAAGGGCGCCATGGTGGCGAGATGTTAACTCCTTCGCCTAGTATACAGGAGGTCGTGGGTTGGATCCCTACCCTGACGTCTGTATATTTGGAGTTTGCACATCTCTCTCCCTGTGATCGCGTGGATTTTTCTCCACGACATTAGATTTTTTTTCCTTTGACACAATGAAAATCAACGTCATGCATCTAGAGCGACTTGACGACTACTATAAATGTCCACGTGACGACGATGATAAGCCACTTTGTTGAGTTATCATCACGTGCGATGAGTTGACGGTCTCAGCCTGGTATACAGGAGGTCGTGGGTTCAATCCTGACCCTGACAATGCCTGCTGTATATTAGAAGTCTGCATGTCTTTCTCTCATCATCATTATCACGGTGGCTAGGAGATGTTAACTACCTCGCCTGGTGTGCAGGAGATCGTGGTTTCAATTCCGTCCCTGACGCCTGCTGCTGTAAATTTGGAGTCGGCGTGTCTCTCTCTCTCCTCTCGTGGTCGCGTGGATTTTTTCTCTGGGGTCTTCCGGTTTTCCCCTCCACATTTAGAATCAACATTGCACGTTTTAAGAGTATTTGCTGCTATGAATGTCCACGTGATGATGATAAGCCACTTCGTTGAGCCATCATTCGTGGTGGCCAGGGTCACTTCTGAAAACAGAGCTACGTAAAAGAAAAGAGCTACCCGGTAAAATACAAAAACATAGTTTAGTTTGAACGACATATTTATATTTTAACGATGTAAACTAAAAAAAAAAACAGCCTCATATATAAATAACATCGGTTCTGGCGGAATCCTACTACCCACACGGCGACGACAAAACCCACCCAGGTTGAAGTAGCGGATGTGCTCGGGCAGCGTCGCGTTGGAGACGTTGGGGAAGCCCTCCGAGTCGACGAAGCGCTGCGCCTCGGAGGCCTTGAGGAAGGCGAAGAGGCGCGCCGTGAACGACGCCACGAAGATGGAGAGCATACCGAAGTCGAGGACGTTCCACAGCTGGAAGAGGTACTCCTTGAGCCCCTCGGCCCACAGCTCCTTGCACTCGGCCCAGATCATTCCTGCGGCGAGGTGGTGACGAGAAGCCGGGGGGGGGGGGGGGGGGGCAGTGGAAACACGAGCATCATGTTTTTAATGAATTTTTTTTAAATAACCATATGCGGTGGAAAAACTATAAAACTACAACTACAAACTATTTTTTTGTATTTTACCAGGTAAGGCGCCACTGAGCTGCTATATAGCTCTTTTTCAGAAGCGACCTGGCCATCGCCCACGATAGCTCAAACGAAGTGGCTTGTCGCCACGTCGCAATTGATAGCAACGGCTGAATACTCTGACCGCGTGACGTCGATTGGAAATGTGGAGAGGAAAAAACCGCAGGACCCCAGAGTAAAATCCATGTGACCATGGAGAAAAGATAGATAGACACGCAGACTCCAACTATACAGGCATTGTCAGAGTCGAGATCAAACCCACGACCTCCTGTAAACCAGGCAAGAAAGTTAACATATTGCCACTGGCACCAGAATTATGTCACACTTCCCAGCATGGAATTGTCTCTGGAAGTATTTAATGAATGGTATGGTAGCATATTAGAAATGTGCAAATATGCAAACATTTTCCAATTTTGATAAATTGTGTTGGTTTTATTTAGCCTAAGTCCCCAACAGCAACGCAATCTATATTATATTGGATTGACTTTACATGCGGACACATTTAATGTGTAGACGTGATATTACAGCATCGAGTTGAGCTGAAATAAATTGGTCCCCAATTTCCTGCACGCAAGTGCTTGTGCGTGCGTTTGTGCGTGCACACGATTGTGCGTGCACGCGGTGGCGCGACGGTCATAGCGCACTGCGCTACGAACATGGCTACACGGGGTTCGATTCCCATTTACGGCCAACATCAGTCGCCAATATCTGGTCCTGGACCTCCCCCTAGGTCTTCTCAGCCTCAAATGAGTAATCTTCATTAAAAGAGCCGCAATCGCAAATCCGCGATATGCCGACAGACACAAAGGCAAATATCCCCCATATAGCTTTAACAGACTGTTGGGGCAAGTGCTGTTAGTGAGCACATATTAAGGCCGGTACGGCTCACGAGGGAGTGGGTGGCCAACACCACGTGCGGCCGCCTTTGTCTCCCGAGTGGCGATGTTTTACACACCTCACCCAGGTACTCGTTGAGTACCTGGGTGAGGCCTAGGGCCGATTCAGATAATTGTGACTCGTGTTGGCCGTGAGCGGGAATCAAACTCAGGTCGCCGGGTATTTAGCGCAGAGCGCTAACCGCGACACTGCCGCTCCCCACAACATACATACACGATACACGTGTCCACACGTACGTTTGTACGTTGAGCTTCATTCGCAACGTACATAGCCTTACCGTGTTAATCAGATGTGCGGGTGAAGGACAACAAACTAAACACACGCACAACGCAGTTGTTTGGCGTTTCGCCTGCTGTCCGAGCGAGCACGTGCCCACCCACCGATGATCCACGCGATGATGAGCAGCTCCGTCCAGGTGAAGGACGTCGTCTTGATGCGGAAGAGCTGCTGCGGGTGGTCGGTCTCCGTCTCGTTGGGCAGCAGCTTGACGCCCTCGAAGCGGTCGGAGGCGTTGAGCACCAGCAGCGCCAGGAAGATGGTGAAGGAGGCGGCGTGCGCCACGAACTTCATGAACGGGCTCCGCAGCACCTTCCCGATCTGCGTCGCGTGACGAACCCGGGGGTGGGGGTAGGTAGGGGCGTAGGGGGGGGGGCAGCGGCGGCGGTGATCGTTTAGACCCCCCCCCCGGTTCCGTCGTCTTTCCGTGGAGGTGCCCGCGTGAGCGATCACGAAGCGTCGCGGAGGGCATGGGTTGACCGAGGTCAACGGATGGCCACCCACTGGGGGTCATGCACAGCCACGCTCGCGTGCATGGTTCCCGGTGGTTATTCGGAATGATAAAATCGACGAAACTATCAACTATTTTTTATTTTACCAGGTGAGCTATGTAGGTCTTTGTCCGCAGCGACCCTGGCTGGTACAAACGATAGCCCAACGAAGTGGCGGCTTATCACGGGAGGAGACCGGAGCACCCGGTGAAGCGACCCACACACGTGCGAGGGGGCAACGCTGTATCCTCTATGGATGGGACAGATGGGGATTCGTTTGAGCTCTACTACACCGCCCGCCTTTGCTGCCTCGAGAGAGCCAGGGGCTAGCACCTCTCCGACGCCTCCACGGGGAAGGGAGTTCCGCAACCCGTGGCGATCCACCAACCCTCGCAGCGCTGAATTGCAGGCATCCACGTGGGTAGCCACCACAGCCGCCCGTACTGAACGTCCGTGAAAAAGAGCTTCACAGCTCATCGGATTCCTAGATTAGGATTCTGAGCTCGGCCTTATAGACCACCCCCCCCCCCCCCGTAAGCATTCACAATTCCTTTTTGAAGCCTGTTTGGATTTCCCCCCGGGCTCTATCCCGATTACTCGGTCCATCACGTCACGAGAGAGAGAGGGGGGGTGGGGTGGGAGGGGATCCAACGGATGCCTCGCAGGGCAGCGCAAACTGCCCCGTGTGTTGGACGACGTCCCCACGGAAGCGGACGCTACAGAGCTGCCACTGATATTCCTTCGAGTGACCACCTCTGGCCCACCCTGTCGCTGAACGTAAAATTCGTCGCGTGACAATTCAAGCCCCTTTTTCCCGTTTCCGAGGCGTACTGCAAGTCGCAGGGCGTGGGTGGGTGGTGGGGTCTCGTCCTGTTCACCGGAGATTTTCGCAAACGTGTGTGGTGGTAGCGCAGTTGTGTGTTTTTATATAATATTTTTATTCCGCATCCTCCCTCAAGTCGTACATTGCAACATCCTGACGTTCTGGACGGCGCTAGCAGGGTATCGACGATATCAAGTAAACCCGGACTCATCAGAGCAGGCGGAGAGGAGGGGAATTTACTTTGGGGAAGGGGGGGGGGGCTTGGCCAGGTCATTGCCGTTCTGGGCTCAGGTATTTAAGAACGTTCTAAGGCTGAGGAATGGACCCCACCTACGTGTTGTATTATTTTTCCTAGTCTCTTGAGCTTATAGCTCAGATGCTCAAGTGCTGAGATCGGGCCTTAATGAATTCAGCCATTGAGTACGGGAATGGAGGTTCGTGGTTCTTCCACAAACTCAATATGGTTTTCCTGGCCAGCGCCGTTGTTTTTAGAGATGTTGTTACTCACCGTGGAGAACTGTAAGCGACACGACCGCCGCACTCTACGATGGCTGGCACCGAACTTAATCGGTACCGAGGCTCCCGCGTGACCTTGTGGGAACCTCGGTACCGATTAAGTTTTTTAATTTTTCCTTCGGTTACGTTCCGATGACGTACACACGTACGTCACACGGAATGGAACCGGAAAAAAAACTGATGACGCACACATGTATGTCCAGCGGAACGGTGAAAGGCTGCATGCTGATGCGTTTGAATCTCAAGAGCTGAAACGTACCCAAACCGAGTGCAGGAACAAGGTACCAAGCTCGCCGGATCGCCTTGAGGTCAGACTTCTAACGCGCTGGCTCTGTAGATTGTGCAGCACTTTTCCCGCAGCTTCGCACGGTCGACGCCGCGTCATGGCACTCGGTTCGAGCGACATCAACATCCACCCGCGATGATGGCAAATGCGGGAAAAAATCTAACATTTACGGAAAGGGCCCGTGGCACCACCCGTCAACCCCTGGCGCGGGCAGCGGTGATGCCAACGCGTACCACTTCTTACGCACCATACGTAGCCAACCGCGCTCATTGGAGGTGCGGGGGAAGGACGATGAACTAAAAACACAAAAAGTAATTCTAAATTTATGAATTCTCAATTTAGTCTAGTGGTGTAGTGTATAGGAGCAGAGTGTATAATAGTGTAGTGTATAGTGTAGTATATAGTGGTGTAGTGTATATGTGTGTATGTTGAACTTCTTTCACGCCGTACTTAGCCAATCGCGCTAATCGGAGATGCGGGTGGTGAGGGGGGGGGGTACCTGGCTACAAGGTGAGATCCAGTAGGCGAGCGCGAGGATGGGCAGTGACATGGCCACGGAGAGCACCACGAGGAATTTGATGCCGTTGGACTGCTGCCTCAGGCCCGAGATGTTCTCGTACCAGATGGACAGCAGCTGCTGCTGGCAGTTGGGGTGAGCCACAAACTGCAAGGCCCAGGAAAGCACGGCAGCCATCGTCAGCAAGCAGCAGCAGCCAACAGCAAGCAGCAGCAGCCAGCAGCAACCAGTAGTGGCAGCCAGCAGCAGCAGACAGCAGTCAGCGGCAAAAACAGCAGGAGCAGTAGCATACAGTGCGATAGCAGTGGTGCGCCAGATAACGAAACCTCAATGTGTTCGTCAGTAACTCTGCCCCACATGTAATATACACGCGCTCTTGGCCTTTCTTCACTGCTATGGTGACATTTCAAGGCTCTCCTCCAAAGCCCTGCGGTAGAGGGCAAAATGACGAGGCAATGATCGCGAAGGGCAGTGGTGCGCGAAAATAAACCCAAACCCAATTCGTCAAATGCGTCGGGGTTTTTTTGTAAGTTGAGGGCGCGCCAACTTTATCCCGGCTGCCCGACCACAGGTAGAGTAATGGCGTTCGAGTGACAGTCTAACCGATGTATATTTTAAATTCTCAAGAGCTGGAATTCAGCCACGGACGTATAACGCGATGTTTTTTGTTTACGTGTGTTAGTCTGTAGTCTAACGATTACTTTTTAAAATTTTACTCAGGAAAGGCCCACTGAGCTGCTATATAAGCTCTTTTTCAGGAGCGACCTGACAAGCACATATGATAGCCCAACGAAGTGGCTCATCATCATGTGAAGATTTATAGCAACAGTCAAATACTCTGAAACGCGTGATGTTGCTTCTAAATGTGGAGGGAAACACTGGAAAAAATCCACGTGACCCCGGAGAGAGAGACACGCAAACTCTAAATATCCAGCAGGCCTCAAGGGTCGGGATCGAACACACGACCTCCTGTACATCAGGCGAGGCGGTTAACATCTTGTCACTGTGGTGCCCCAGTCATCGGCGACTGAGCTTAGACCGTCAACCAGTTTAGCCACAGGCCTGGATTCCAACCCAGGATTCTCAACGGTACCGACTCGGTGCCCTGACCTCTGAGCCCGCCCGGCTACATCATTTTTAATTTAACGATGCCAAGTGCTGCTGCATCAACCGTACGCCGAGACGAGTTATTGCATGACCAAGGAAGGTACACAAATTAAGTGGCTGCCAGCCTGCCTGTGGGAGTAGCCATAATAGGCCAGGCTGCTATATCACATCTCGGTAACAACAGACAACAATTGCCCAGAACAACTGCCCAAGGGGCATAAACCATCATCACGCAAACTCCGGTCGCCCTCGCAGCAGTGGCGGCTTTTGGTTCAGCCATCGAACAAAGACGGTGATCGCTACATCATGCGCTTTCAGATGCGCTTTTGCGGCCGTCTGGAACGCTCTTCCTTCCGATATTAATAAGAAGCGACTGGGAGCACTATTAAATCTAAGTAAAAAACTAATCTCTTTCAGAACTGCTTTTTGTGTTTATCTTGTTGTCCTTCCCCCACACCTCCGATTACTGCACCTCAGATGAGCACAGTTGGTTACGTACAGTGCGAAAGAAGTTCAACAGAGATCAGAATCAGAATATGTATTTACACTGGATAAATCGGATTATCAATGAAGCTCTTTTTCACAGATGTCCAATAGGGGTGGGTCAGAACGTTCCAACAACAAATAATACAAAACATCTGATCGGAGTGCAAAGTATAGGAAAGGAAAACAAATCACTTTAAAAATTTCCAAATAAAATTAAACATTTTTTTTGGTATCTTCCAGGTAAGGCTCACTGAGCTATTAGCTGCTTTTCAGATGTGACCTGGCCACAAATTATAGCTCAACAAGGTGGCTTATCATCACGCGGAGATTTATAGCAGCCAAATCATCTAGACGCATGTTTGGAAATAATCAAGACGCATGTTTGTAAATACACTTAAATGCCCATGCTGCCCTGGCCACCGATCCCAGCGGTTCTCAACATTTTTGTGGCCACTCTGCCCCACCTTGTTGAATTTAGTTTCAACCGAGTATCCCCCTTGCCTGACCCAACATGGTTCTGAGAAATACATGTATGAATAATGAACATCATATTTTTATCAATTGTCCATTTTGTGAGATATCCTAACCAGCTAGTGACTGCAAGCCAATAAAACTAAAATTCAACGGGCGCTCTGGGCGTGTGACGCTGGTTACTCTTGGAAACCGACATTGTTTACGATCAATGAGTTTAGAAAGGTCTTTTATATCTTTATAGGTTACCATTTGTATTTAAACCTTACCGTAGTTATTTTACATCGACAGATTCATACGGCACGATTATAACACCGATGACTCTCAGGAATTATACAATTTCACACATTTATAAATCACCTCACGTACCCCCTCTCGGGACATTATCACGCGTTACCCCCCCCCTCCTCCCAGGAGTTTCCGCATATTGAGAACCCACTGCGGTCTAGCCCAAGGCGTCATCTGTTCCAAAGCATGTCCAGCCCTGGCGTGCGGGCTTGAGCCCCCCCCGCGCTCCTGGCCCCTTACCTTCTTGACCTCGTACTTGATGGCGAGCTTGAGGCGGATGAGGGCTGCTCGCTGGCGGTCGCAGGCTGGCGGGTTGAGCTCCGCGTCGCCGTTGAGGATCGCCTCCACCTCCTCCGTGTCGCGGCACAGGTCGAGCAGCCCCACCACGAAGTCTTTGCACTGCACCGACAGCTTCTTGTAGTCGTTCTGGGACGAGTGCAGTGGCGGAGGAGGGGGGGTGGTAGGAAGAGAGGAGGAAAGGAGGAGGAAGGGAGGAGGAGGAAGGAGGGGGAGGAGGGGGGGGAGGAAAAGGAAGGGAGGAGGGGGGAGGGAGGAGTAGAAAGAGAGGAAGAGAGTAGGAGGATGAAGGGAGAAGGAGGTAGGAGGAGGGATGGAGGAGGAGGAAAAGAGGAGGAGGGAGGAGGAGGGAGCAGGAGGGAGGAGGGGTAGGAGGAGGGAGGAGGGGGGAGCAGGGGGGAGGAGGGGGGAGGGAGGAGGTGGAAAGGAGTAGGAAAGGAGGAGGGGGAAGGGAGGAGGGAGGAAGGAGGAGGGAGGGAGGAGGAGGGAGAGAGGAGGAGGGATGGACGGAGGAGTAGGAAAGGAGGAGGAGGGAGCAGGGACAGAGGGAGGGAGGAGGAGGGAGAGAGGAGGAAGGAGGGGGGAGGGAGGAGGAGGAGGGAGAGAGGAGGAAGGAGGGGGGAGGGAGGAGGAGGAGGGAGAGAGGAGGAGGAGGGGAGGAGGAAGGAGGAGGGAGGAGGAGGGAGGGAGGAGGGGGGAGGGAGGAGGAGGGGGTAGGAGGAAAAGAGGAGGCGGAGGAAGAGGGCAGGAGCGGTCATCCTCTCAACAGCGATAGCGGCGGATTTTGGCTAGCGATCGAACAGAGACGGTCGGGTCGCTTTCAGATGCGCTTCTGCGGCCGTCTGGAGCGCTCTTCCCTTCCGATATTATGGCGCCACTGGAGCTGTGCATCATCCAGATTGACTAACTATCTTTTGTGTTTTTAGTTTGTTGTCCTTCCCCCCCGCACCTCCCATTTGCATGGTTGGCTACGTACAGTGCGAAAGAAGTTCAGCATACACACATACAAGAGGCCGGTTTGAAGGGAGTGGGATGGATGGGAACGATTGGGGTTGACGGATGGCACGCGATGAAGGCGACGGTTCTGGCACAGAGCTGACAGAAAAGTGCGAAACAGCAAACCTGGGAGTCGCTGCTGTGCAAGTGGGTTTTAGATTGGGAACTTGCTTCATTTGCTTCCAAGATGTCGTTTGTCGCGCGGTGAAAACACAGAACGTGTAGCCCGGCTCGAGAATTGAATTCGGGTCATCAGCGGCGCGCTAACCACTGCGCCACCCCTCCCCCACACATGAACTAACAAAGACAAAGACCCCCCGTATAGCCTTCAACAGATTGTTGGGGCAAGTGCAATTTGCGAGCACCTATGAAGGCTGGCACGGCACACGAGGGGGGGGGGGGTGGTCAGCACCACGCCCGGCGGCCTTTGTCTCCCCAGTGGCGATGTATACACATTGCACCAGGTACTCATTTGAGTTCACCTAGGGGGGGCCCAGGACCGGTACAGATGATCGTCACCGGTGTTGGCCGTGAGCAGGAATCTAACTCAGGTGACCGGGTTCGTATACCAACAGCCGCCATTCGCCACAAAGTGACGGTGACATGGACCACGGCGCCTGTTGCAGGCCAGGTGAACTTTGAGGCCACGTGAAGTGTCGAAGGCTCGCTGACAAGAGGTCTCGGGATAGACCCAGGTGCCGTGGGTTGGCTGACTGAGATGACCGGTAGATTCACCAGCTGTGCCAACTTGCTACGTTTTATCCGCCCGGTGCTCCGCTCGTTGTTGTGAGCGTTGCTCCTTTGCACTCCGTTGTTGCTGGAGGGTGACTGCCTCCAACTCGCCAGTAGCTTCCTTCACGAGCCTCCTCCATTTATGCCGTTCGTGACACCGCTGGTACCAATCGTCGGCAAGTCCACTCAGCTCTACATCCTCCTGTACCGCATCAGCCCATCTCTTCTCCAGCTTGTGCCGCGCCCATTTACCCCCCTCTATCCAACCGAACAAAATCTGTTTAGGTATGCAGTGGTTAGGCATGTGGGCTACATGACCCAGCCAATGTAGATTTGCCTGCCAGAGCTCACCGATGGGACTTTGCCCAGATCTTTCAAGGATTTGTGAGTTCCTCACATAATTTAGCCTGGTTAAACCCATGATTGATCATAGTCAGGGCAGCCTAAATATTGCTAACTGACGCAGATGTTCCATTAGAGGGGTCCACGTTTCGCAATCATAGAAAAGGGAGGGCATGACCGTGGCTGAGAAGACCCGAAGCTTCGTGTGTAGCGAAAGACCACGCAGCTTCCACACAGCGTTACACAGCCAAAGCAATTATAATGCTGCCCGACTGATTCGGAGTGAGACCTCTGTGAGACCTCTGCTGTCGAATCGGAGCCGGTCATCAGCACACTGCCCAGGTATGGAAAACTCTCCCCTCTCTCCAGAATTGCCCCATCACCAATTGGGAGTTGTGGGGGTGGAATGTTCGATGGCAGAAAATACCCAGGCGGGTGCTTAGCTTTGGTGGGGCTGATGTAAGGCCCCACCTCTTAGTGGCATGCTCCAGGTTCAGCAGGTTCAGCAGCAGTGCCTCCAAGATAATGACACACACGGACACAAAGACACAGACACACACGCACGCACCTTGAACTCCTTCTCGATGTTGGCCAGCATGGCGAGCTCATTGCTGAGTTCGAGGGCAGTGAGCACGGGGTCCTCGCTGGACAGCGACAGGTACGCGGGGCTGGCGAGGCCGCGGTACGCGTTGATGCGCGAGCGCGAGTGGCAAAAGGCATCGTGCCGCTGCTTCTCGGTACACTCGCCGCACTTGCAGAAGTAGTCGTGCGGCCCGCTCGATGCGCGCCCCCCTGCGCAGCAAGATGTGCACGATCTCGTACTCCTGGCAGTGCGCTGGAAGCACGCGGTGGGGGTCGGGGGGGGGGAAAGGGGGGGGGCGACACGCGCAGTGGACGACGCAGTCAAGGCGAGTGCCGGTTTGGTGTGACACGAGAGGGTGCCGCTAACGGCGAGATGTCAACTACCTCGCCTGGTATGCAGGAGGTCGTGGGTTCAGATCCCGACCCTTAAGATGCCTGCCGTATATTTTTAGTTTGCGTATTCTCTCTCCCTCTCCCTGTGGATGTTTCTCCGGGTCCTCTGGTTTTTTCCCTCCACATTTAGAATCAACGTGCGTCTAAGAGTATTTGGCTGCTATAAATGCCCACGTGATGATGAGCCACTTGGTTGAGCTACAATCAGCAGACAATTTCACTTGAGTCTTGCCTTTATGGTGGCGAGATGTTAACTCCCTCGCCTGGTATGCAGGCATTGGTTCGACCCCAACCCTGATGCTTGCATATTTGGAGTTTGCATGTTCTCCCTGTGATCACGTGGATTTTACTCCAGGTCTTCCAGTTTCCCCCAGATTTAGAATCAAAGTCACGCGTTTAAGAGTTATTGTCCACCATACATTCCAAGTGATAATGATAATCCACTTCGTTGAGCTCTCATTTGTGGCCCAGGTCGCTTCTGCAAAAAGAGACACATTGCTCAGTGGCCATTACCTGCCACAATAAAAAAAAATTGGATTATAGTTTAGTTTAGAGAGAGAGGCAGGCAGGGACCTACAATATATCTCATTAGCAAAGGGTGACCCCCGCTGGGAGGTCATCACCACCACGGAATTGCAATTGGAGCAAAACAAAAATAGGCGGCGTGAACGAGCAAAATAGCGATGATCGTGATGATCACGATGATGTGTGTATTGATGTTGACCTTCTTTTGCGCTGTACAGGCGAACTTGGGCGGTCGCCTTGGGCACCAAGTCAAGTGAGGCGCCAAATTCGAGGATACAATTTTAATTATTTCAATTTCTGTGCGCGCACAGAGGGAATATGAATTATAATTCATTTCTCAACATTCCTGAGAATGTATTGGTTGGACAAATGGACGGGCAAACTGAATAGTTATGCCTCTGTTTAAAGAAGAATACGCTTAAAAAAACATTAAACGAAAAATAGGGGCAAAGTGTTTCCCATTTCTCTAAGACGAAGGTACTTTGCAAGCCCACTGGCTATCAACAAAGATTATTTCATGAAGCCATCCATATATACAGACACAATTTTCACCGAGAGGATGGGTACAAACTCAGCAATCACTAGAAGGACGTCATCAATCAGTTTAAGTCATAACTGGCTGTGATGTTTCCATCTTGTCACCTTCCGATGTTGGTTTTATTTTACCAAAGATGTGACAAGCAATTTCAGTTCCTGCGGTGTCGCCCATGCATCGGGAGTAGCACAAGTTGTTAAATTCTCCACGTCTCATGCGGCTCCCCCTCTCTTAATTCCGAATCCACATTAACATCACCATCTACGCTTGCACAGGCCCCAGGCCACTTGTGCCCCGCCCACTTCGTTCTGATACCAGGACGCCTGGGCTACGCCCATTTTAAACCTGTAAAAACAGCTTGCCTTTCGTGGTGTTCCCCCCTTTTTTCCACTGATCACAGTCGCTTGTGTTGCGATCGAAACGTCGCAATAGATTTTTATTTATTTATTTTTAACCTATCTACTTGACTTTACCGAAAGACCCCAAAAATATGAATTCCTGCAGTCACGAAAGCTTTAAGTCAAGATGTAAAGTGTTTCCCAGTTTACCAAAAACCTCAGGCTTAGATCTGCCCTTGGGGTCTGGGGATAGTGGTGCTGACTTCATGGTTCGCCTAGGGTGCTGCCAGTTGCTGGCAGCTGGTCTAGGGACGCCCCTGTACATAGCCAACTGTGCTAATCGGAGGTGCGGGGAAAGGACAACAAACTAAACACATACAAGCAGTTCTAAAGAAGCTAAAGTGTTGTTTAGGGCCTGGGATCGCCTTTCCAGTTGCTCACTCAGCGACTGCAACATTTCCCGGTGTAGAAGTCAGTAGTGACCCCCCCACCCCCCGATGATCACAATGATCATTATGATCATCATCATCATCATGAACATCATCATCATTGTGATTATCATAATCAGCGTGACCATCGTGATCGTCATTATCATCATGATCATCGTGACCATCATTATCATCGCGATCATCATTATCATCATGATTATCATGATCATCATGATTATCATGATCATCGTGATCATTATGATCATCGTGACCATCATTATCATCATGATTATCATGATCATGATGATCATCGCGATCATCGTGATAATCATGATCATCATGATTATCATGATCATCGTGATCATCATGATCATCGTGACCATCATTATCATCATGATTATCATGATGATCATCGCGATCATCGTGATCATCACGATCATCGTGATCATCGTTTACCATTGTGATCATCATCATCATTATCTTGAACATCATCACACCCCGCCCCCCCCCGCCCCCGAGGTATCCACAGCCGACCTGCAAGGATGATGGGGGTGATGTCGGGAGAGAAGCGTGTGCCATCTTCGTCGTAGGCGTAGAAGTCGTCGTCCTGCGTCTCCTGCTCCCGGGGGCTCAGGATGAGGCGCTTCTCACCGGCGAAGGCCGGGTGGGCGAGGATGGTCTCCACAATCCGCACGTAGCCTGAAACGCACACCGCGCGGCGTCATTGTTGTCGTCATGGTGATCATCATGATCATCATTAGGGTGATCATCGTGATCATTGTTCTTCCACTCGTTCACCCAGGAAAGCCTCGCCTGCCAGGAGGGTCCTGGCAGGTTTTTTTTCAGAGCAGGGGGTGATGCTGTTGCTGTGTGCAATCCCAATTGAGTGATTTGCAGGAAATCTCTCCGCATTGCGCTGTTTTTGGCCAAGAGCAGTTACGCTGTGTTTTTTTTATTTGCTATGGGAGAACTAGGAGCAAACCCACGTGGAAAAGAAGAGGAGATAATGCAGAACATCACACAGGATGGAGTGCGAATCGGAAATCAAACCCAGGCCCTTCTTACTGTGAGGCGGCACGAGCATCAGTCCAGTAATCCAATAAGCATGTTGAAATGAATCAGTCGCAACACACGATGACTCCAGGTCGCGACCCTTTGTGATTTTCCGCTTGCTGGAACGGGACGTTACCAACAGCCGAAGAGCTATTCCCAGTCCCCAATAAAAGCACACAAATACCACTCAAGCAGTTCCATTGCTGGTACGTTATGTCCCTTCCCGAGCCGGCTTACCACGCGTCAACACACTCATCATATTTATCACGGTACCTTTTCTTTTGCCGGTATCGACGTATGAAAAGTAAGAATAGGGTTTACCATTTCTAGCAATAACACAGGAGGCGTTAAGCTGTTCAAACACCAAATATATGCCTTTTGCAAGTAATCGAGTCTGCATTATTAGCCACACGTACATGCAAACAAACATGCTCTGATAATGTGCGCACTGTCTTTGAAATTGATAAGAAGGCCGCTTCCTCTGGTGTAGGTCAATCAGTTTCAAAGACAATACGTACATTCTAGATTTGAAGCTTTCGTGACTGCAAGGATTCATATTCTTAGGTTTTTTCGGTAAAGTCACGTAGGTACCTACGTGACTTTACCGAAAAAACCTAAGAATAACAATACGTACATTATAAGAGCATGTTTGTTTGCATGCTCACCACAAGTACGTGTGTGCAAAAGGCATCTATTTGGCGTTTGAACATGTTAACACACCTCCTGTTATATTGCCAGGAATGGGTAAACACCTATTCATGCTTTTCACACTAATCATATGTGATGCCCTGTCACGAGCTCACCTCCTCGCAAAGTAGAACGCAGCGCGCGTAAACCATTTACAAAACCCGAGCCGCTTAATTCGATCTTCCGCGGGGAATGGAACGATTCGTCTGCCGCCCACCGCTGGTTTGGTGATTCGCTGCGAGGTTCGATGGGGGTACGGGGTGTTGGGCGACTTTGAGGCGAGAAACGAGATTGTGGCCTTCTACCCTGCTCGAAGAACTGTTGCAGCGATTCGGTGCTCGATGTGATGACGTCAACAATAGAAAACAGCTAATTGGGTACTTGCGAGGCGCCTCGAGTGAATTTACCCCCCCCCCCCCCACCGAAAAATGTAGTCAACAACACTGTCTTCTAACACGGCAGTAACGCAATGACACTGGCATGACCACATTGGGATGACCACGATGATATAACTACGATTATAGGACCACGATGAGATGACTACGATATGACCACGATGGCATGATCACGATGACATGACCACGATGACATGACCACGATGACATGACCACAATGATATGACTTGAATGACAGGACCGCAATGACACGACCGCGATGACATGACCACGACGACACGACCGCGACGACAGGACTGTGATGACAAGACCACGACGACACGACTGCGGTCGACGGCACACCGCGACTCGGACAGGGGCCTCCGCGCACCCTTGCTGATGGCGAGCATGAGTGCGTCGCCGACCCGCGACAGCTTGTCGCGCTTGAGCAGCAGCTCGGCCACCTCGAGGTGCTCGTTGCCCACGGCGAGCTGCATGGCGTTCTGGCCCATGTAGTCCACGCAGTTGACGTTGAGCGAGCGGCCAGCGCCGCAATCCTCCAGCATACGGCGCACCACGGGGATGTTGCCGTACTCGGCCGCGTCGAGGAAGCGCTCCTCCTCGGCCGTGAGGTTCGTGGCCCGCTCGCTGAACATGTACGCGGGGCCCCGCACCGCCTGACGCCGGCCCGCCTTCTCCCGCATCATCGTGGGCCGCCGCCGTATCGTCTGCCGGTTGACGGACGCTCTCCTGCGGGTTGGCGGGGAGAAAGAGAAGAGGAGAAGAAGCAAAAGTTTGATTTTGTTGGGGAGCCAAAGGTTCGAGGAGGTCGCTGGGTGGCTCCGAAGTCGGAGCGCCGAGGTCTTGGGCTGGGAGCTGCCCACGATCGACACCGGCTTCTCGAACAGAGCGAGCCGCTGGTCACAAGCTCGGCGACCTGATGGATAATTGGCTGTGTCGGGTGGCGGCGGTTTTGACGACACATTTATATCTTGATTTGAAGCTTTCGTGACTGCAGGAATCCATACTCTTTAGTTCTTTCGGTAAAGTCACGTAGGTATAAAATAAATCACGACGTTTCGGGCGCAACACCTGATTACGGATGCTGATTACGGACGCTTGTGTTGCGCCCGAAACGTCGTGATTTATTTTATTTTATACCGACGTGGCTTTAAAGAAAGAACCAAAGAGTATTGACACATTTATATTTACAACAAAAAAACTTCATTATGGATGATATTGGTCGCGAAAGCCTCCTACTATGTGCTATGACGTTAACTATCTTGATCCCCCCCACCCCACTTTTGAAATTATAACAAATTGCATAAAGACAAAGATCTCCCATGTAGCCTTCACAGACTGTTGGGGCAAGTGCTGTTAACGAGTAGTACCCGATGAAGGCTGCCATGGCACACGAGGTAGGTGGCCAGCACCACACCCGACCGCCTTTGTCTCCCCAGTGGCGATGTTTACACACCGCACCAGGCACTAATTTGAGGCTGAGTTGACCTAGGGGAGGCCCAGGACCGGTTCAGATAATCGTCACTGACAGTGTTGGCCGTGAGCAGGAATTGAACCTGGGTCGCTGGGTTTGTAGCGCAGCGCGCTAACCGCTACACTACCACACATACAAGTAAACGCGCAGACACACACACACACAGACACACACGTATATATGTATGAAGCAATCACGAACACATCAGCAGGCAAGTCCCGGGGTCAATTGGCGAGCCATCCCAAAGCAAATCTTGAAAGCCCAGCCATGCGACGCGGGCCTGGAACCAAGGCCGTAGCCATGGAGTCAACATTGGGGGGGTTCAAAATCCCCCCCCCAGAAAAAAAAATCTTAATTTGAAAACTCATTTCCTGCCATTTCCTGCCTAAAATATTAAAAAAATTCACTAACACATAGGATGGATTTTTTTTACCAAAATGTCAAATTGTGTTTTTTTTCTTATTTTTACCTTTTCTTGTTTCATTGTATCTAATGGCAGAGATTAGGGATTAATAAAGTACAACCATAACCAAAATCATATAAACAGAAATCTATGCATTGTTATATGAAGACATGTCCAGATATTGTGCCAAGCTTGAGCAAATTGTTGTTTTATTTACATATTACAAGTAAACTTGGGTGGGCAGCAGCGGGGGGCGTTTGCTCTGCTCTGCTCTCCTATCTTCTCCTCCCCAGCCCTCTCGTCTCCTCTTCTCTGGTCTTATATTCTCCTCTCTTCTCCAGTCATCTCTTTGCCTCTCCCCTGCTCTGCAGTCATTTCTGCTCCTTTCTTCTGCTCTCCTCTCCTATCCTCTCATCTCCTCTCCAGGCAATGACAAGTGTTTTGACTTGTCATCTTCAAGCAAAGGATCCAAAGGCCTATTTGCGCTTATCGTTGACACCGATAAATGACCGGAATATTCCTTCAAGGTCAAATCTGTCCAGTTTCTCCTGGTGCACGTGACACATGGCCACATTATTCAGCCTTGTTTGACTCATCAAAGATATAAGCCATGTCTTAAGGCAGGGATGACCAGCAGAAGCCTTACTAAAGCTTCTACCTGACTGAAGAGACCTCTCACCTCTGGCACAATTTCCTAATAATGCTAGCAACATCTGAGCCCGTTTGATTTGTGTAATTAGCCCCAAACATGGCCAGCTACACCTGCAGTAATCTTGAATTCAACTCAGGATACTCGTCTACCACCTTGTCCACGTCTCTGCGTAGCAGCACATTTTCAAGCTGCTGCAGATTGTGGTATCCAGCTTGATCAAACATCTCTATGAATTGAGTATTCACTGTGTCCAAGGCGTTGTACAATTGGGCTCTGTAAAAAGACTGCGCATCCGGATGGATATGTCTACAGCCTGACCGGTGCAACGCTTTGTAGGTTTGCGGATATGAGGCATCTGAATAGGTTGTTGGTCCAACTTTGTTGCCATAGTAGTTGCTTTTGCGAACAAGAAAATAATGTGATCCTCCATTCGCTTGTCCTGCATGCTTGTTTTGACATGGTCCACATCCTCCAACATGCCTGAAACAGTTTCCTAAGCTGCAGGGAGGTGTTCAGTCACTCCAAATCCCCCATAGGTCTTCAGCCATTACAAGGCCGAGGACAGTGTTCCCTTTTAGAAATGTTCCATGAAGACCATTGGACTTAGTTGAAGTGTCAGATGAGCTGCATGATGCCATTTATTCAAGGGCTGTCAGCACTGACTCATACTGGCTGAGAACTGAGCGTAAGGCAGGGGTGCGAACAGTCGACTTGGTGGGACAGAGGGGTTTCAACGAGGTGAAACCATGCTCTGATTTTGCGATTTCCTGGAAAATCACCTTGAACTTGCCAGATTGATTAAAGAAGCTCCCCAATTCATGCACCAGACCCATTGATTATCTTACTGGGGGAGAGGCTGCACAGGCAGCCTGCGTTACTAAGTTCACGCAGTGTGGACCACAGTGACAATACATACCCAGCGGTTGTTCTTTCCTTAAAATGGCTTGCACCCCCTGCAATCGTCCAGTCATATTTGCAGCACCATCGAAGTTGGGACAGAGGAAGGCCTAGATGCATCATCACATCACATGCCATCTTGGGTATATTTTGCCCTGTCGTTGATGACACTTCATAGAGTCCCAGGAATTCTTCCTTTGGTTGTAGATCTGCATCTACAAAGCACAAACATATTGACTACTGCTCAACTCCTGATATATCCTGGGTGCCATCAAAGATTAATGCGAGCTGGACCACTGGTATTGATGTTTTTTTCCGACACAATTTCTTTGACGATTGTATTGCCCACCAGCTTAAAAATTTCGTTTTGCATTTGGGAACTGGTGAAATCAAAGTGACCTTTCAGCCAGGTGGTCAGCTCTACATCACTCTCTGCCTTGTACTTTAGAAGCCGGCTGAAATTCCCACTCTCCTTATCAACGCCTCGAAAAGCCAGACCTTGCCGTGGCAAATTCTTCACACCCCCAACAATCTTCATAAGATTTCTCCTCGCTTGTTGCTGCTGTCTTTCAAGTTCACGTGAAAGTTGCACATTAACAGGTTTGGCTCCTGAATCTGAGTCATCACAGCTAATTTGTGACACTGGCTGTCTTCATGTGCACTACATTTCTCCAGTGCCTTCTTCGAATTTTGAAAGCCAGTCTTGACAAAAGCTGAATCTGCTTTTGACGCAAGCTTAGACTTTTGTGTTGCACAATAGAAACAGAGTACCCCCTTTAAGTAGGGGCTGTAATGGAACCAAGTATAATCTTTCAACCATTTCTCCTGAAAGTAGAGTGTCCTATTTGATAGGATTTGACTAGGTATGACATTCTTGATTTGAAGCTTTCGTGACTGCAGAAGTCCCGAGTGCACCGCCCATGGTACTGGTGCTGTTGATACACTTGGGCTACGCCCATCCCCAAACCCTTATAAACAGTTTGCCTTTAGAGGCTGACTCCTTTGTCTGATGACGACCGCTTGAGTTGCGATCGAAACGTCGTGATTTTTTATTTTATTTCTAACTACGTGACTTTACCGAAAGAACCAAACAGTAGGTATGACATTAACATTTGGCTGATTTGGGCGAGGTCCAAGCTCCTCCCCACCCTCTCCTGCACCTTCATCGTCACTTGCCTGTCTGCTTCTCTCTGTCTCTCTGTAATTGTCTCAAACTCACTCTCCCTGCTTGATTGTATTTTCTGAAATACACCTGAGAAGCCATACCGTACTTAGAGGAATATATCAGCTTAATTAACATTAGGATTAGACTGTTGTGGTGTCATTATTCGGTCTTCACCTACTCACACTGCCCTGTCGGCATCCTCATGCTCTCTCTCCCTCTCTCTCTCTTTACTCTGAATGCACCAAAGCGAACATGGAAGAAATCTTATCAGTAAACAAGTGGTGTTTCTTGCCATGATGTTCAGGAATGGATTAATAACCATTTCTGATCTGAAGGGCAATTAATATTATATTGAGAAACCTTGACTCATCTCTTGTACTACTGTAAACTTATATCATCTGACTGGTACCCATTTTCTCACCGCTCTCAACTTACTTTTCTTCTTTTCTGAAGCAGCCCAAAAAACTGATGTCACTGCCACCCTTCCTTTTGCTTATGATGACACTCACTGTGAATGAAAGCTGACTGTAATACAACTGCTTGCACTTGAATCAAAGAAACACTAATAATGCTCTTTATCATAAGTACAGCTATACACTATACTACAATAATATGCAATAAATGAAAGCTACTGCTGTCGACAAATATGACACATGCAGCGCAACATAAATTATTGACACTTTAGTCAGACTTCACGTGAGCTTTCTGACAAATATAACGTAATAAAGACATTAATGTTAGTTGAATACCCCGTGAGCGCCATTGTTAGTGGTTGGGTAAATGTGCGGCTAATTAACTTTCCAAGTCACTTACTTCTCTATGATAGCTAACGTTAGTGATGGTTAATTGATTAGCAATCGCAAATCGGCCCGTTTTCACCTAAAAACGTTTGTTTCCACTCGACAGTGATATAGGCAA